CCCCCCCCGGTAGACCCCCTCCCCCCTCAGGGTCCTGCCCCTTCAGGTGTGTCCCAGGTAGACGCAGTCGAGCCTGTCGAGGTTACTGGTGACTCTGGTGCTGCTGAGGGTGCTGAGCCTAGGGGTGCTGACTCTGGGGGTGCTGAGCGTGTGGGTGCTACGCCTGGGGGTGCTGAGCCTGAGGGTGCTACTACTGGGGGTGCTGAGCCTGGGGGTGCTGAGCCTGGGGGTGCTGAGCCTGGGGGTGCTACTACTGGGGGTGCTGAGCCTGGGGGTGCTGAGCCTGGGGGTGCTGAGCCTGGGGGTACTACGCCTGGAGGTGCTGAGCCTGGGGGTGCGGAGCCTGAGGGAGCTGGGCCTGCTCGTGTGGCGTCTGGCGGTGCTGAGCCTGGAGGTTCTCCGGGTGCTTCGTCTCGGCGGGAGCCACTCTCTCCATAGGAGCTGCGAGAGTGGTTTGCCCGGCGCTGGAGGCGTGCTGCTGGAGCTGGAGGTTCTTCGGCTGCTGAGGGTGCTGGTGCCGCGGGTCCCGGAGGTGCTCGTACTGGGAGTACTGGAGCTGCTGGGCCTGCGGGTACGACTGGAGCTGGAGCTGCTGAGGGTGTTGGCGCTGAGGCTACTGCTGTCGGTCCTGGAGGCGGTCCTGCTGGGGGTGCTACTGGTGCTGCTGGAGGTACTGGAGCTGGAGGTGCTGCTGGCGCTGGTGCTACCGCTGGGGGTACTGGTGTTGTCCCTGCTGTGTCTGGAGTCGCCGCGCGGCCTCGGCCGGACTTCGTTCCGCTCCTTCAGCAGGTTCTTGGTCTCCCGCCTTCTACTGGTCCACCTCCTCCCTTAGAGTGTCCACAGCCTGTCCCGTCACAGTTACAGTTACAGCCGGCCTCCCCACTGCCCGCTCCTTCTCCCTACACTGGTCCTACTGGAGGTCTGGCTGAGCGTCGTGAGCCTGCGTCTCGCCCTGCGTCGCCTGTCCGTCTTGCTCGCACTAGTGGTCGTGGTTCGCGTCAGCGTCCTCCTCCTGTCCCTGGCACGCACCGGATGTCTCTGCGTCCGTCCACTGCTCCTCTGCGTGCCCCTTTGCCTTCTCCTCCTGAGTCCTCTCTTCCTGCTCTTCCCGACCCGGAGTCGGACTCTCTTCGTGCTGCCAGTCCTACTGTCACGCGTCTCCTTGCTACTGTCGTCACTGACCCTTCCTTTGAGTCCACTGCTGCGTCTGCCCTAGTTACTGAGCTCGTCGACTTTGCTGCTCGCTGTCGTCTAGACTACGCTGCTAGTCTTGTCGTTGAGTCTGAGTCTGTCTGTCCTCCGTCCGTCGGGGGTGAGTGTGCCCTTGGCACGGACGTCCTTGAGGACAGGCAGGAGGAGTTCCAGTGTTTGGCTGCTGCTTCACCTCATCTCGTGTCCGTACTGCTTACCCTTGAGGGAGACCCGGATGCACTTGACATCCCGACTCCGCGCTCTTACGCGGAGGCGATAGAGGGTCCCTACTCCTCTCAGTGGCAGGCAGCTATGGACACAGAGATGGCTTCCTGGAAGTCCACAGGCACCTACGTTGACGAGGTTCCCCCGCCTGGGGCGAACATCGTCAGTGGCATGTGGATTTTCAGGGTGAAGCGACCGCCGGGTTCTCCGCCTGTCTTCAAGGCGCGTTACGTGGCTCGTGGCTTCAGTCAGCGGCAGGGAGTTGACTACTTTCAGACCTTCTCTCCCACCCCGAAGATGACCACTCTTCGGGTACTGCTGCACATAGCTGCTCACCGCGACTACGAGCTGCACTCTCTTAACTTCAGCACTGCTTTCTTGCAGGGCAGCCTGCACGAGGAGATCTGGCTGCGTCGCCCACCTGGCTTCACTGGGTCTTTTCCTCCTGGCACCCAGTGGAGCCTCCGGCGGCCAGTCTACGGTCTCCGCCAGGCACCGCGTGAGTGGCACGACACACTGAGGACTACACTTGCGGCTCTTGGGTTTGCTCCCTCTACTGCCGACCCGTCGCTGTTTCTGCGCACCGACACTTCTTTGCCGCCGTTCTACATCCTCGTGTACGTCGACGACTTGGTCTTTGCCACAGCTGACACTGCTGGACTCGCCCACGTGAAGTCCGAGCTGCAGAAGAGACACACGTGCACAGACCTGGGTGAACTGCGCAGCTACCTTGGCTTGCAGATCACCCGGGACAGAGCACGCCGCACCATTACCCTGACTCAGTCACACATGGTGCAGCAGGTCCTTCAGCGCTTCGGCTTCACGTACTCCTCGCCTCAGGCCACTCCTCTGCCTACTCGCCACTCGCTCTCAGCTCTGCCTTCGGATGAGTCCGTAGAGTCGAGTGGCCCGTACCCAGAGCTTGTTGGCTGCCTCATGTACCTGATGACCTGCACACGACCTGACCTCGCATACCCTCTTAGCATTCTCGCACGCTATGTTGCTCCTGGGAGACACAGACCGGAGCACATGGCTGCAGCGAAGAGGGTGTTGCGTTACTTGTGCAGTACGTCGGGCATGGGGCTTGTGCTTGGAGGGCAGAGTCCAGTGGTCCTCACTGGGCACGCAGACGCTTCTTGGGCTGACGACCAGGCTACGCAGCGGTCGTCACAGGGTTACACCTTCAGCCTTGGTTCCGGCTCTGTTTCGTGGCGGGCTACCCGCTCGTCTTCTGTTCTCGGCTCCAGTTGTGAGGCTGAGATCTACGCCGGGGCCATGGCTGCACAGGAGCTTCGCTGGCTCACCTACCTGCTGACTGACCTCGGAGAGCCGCCTCGTTCTCCTCCAGTGCTGTACGTAGACAACAAGGCCATGCTGGCCTTGTGTCGAGAGCAGAGACTGGAGCACAGAACGAAGCACATTGCTCTCCGCTACTTCCTTGCTCGTGAGCTACAGCAGCGTGGTCAGCTGCGGCTTGCGTACGTGGCCTCTCAGGCCAACACTGCTGATATCTTCACCAAGGCACTTGCGCCTTGTGATCATCAGCGCTTCTGTACTCAGCTGGGTCTTGTGCCTACCTTGCCTCACTTGCTCACCCCTTGACCTTGTTTGTACTGTTGCATATATATATATACACCTGCTCTTGCTTGTCTAGCCTTATATATATATGTAATCCTGCATGTGAACTGGCCTTGTGGCCTTGAACTTGTGCTCGGAATGTGTGGTGACTTTGTGATCCACCCTGAGCTTGCTTTGCTTTGCTTGACTGGTCTTGTGACCCCTTGTTCTCCCCCACTTTGCCTATGGGGGTGTGTCAGATTTATATGACATAGCTACTGTAGGCTATAGTGGGGTAGCACATATGGGGTACAGTTTTCTAGGGTTTACATTTGTACCCAACTTTCCCTTAGTCAATCCATTCTCGTTCAGTTTCTCATGTGATACCCCACGTTCCTCTCAAGTGCGTGTTGGTCGCGAAACGCCACTTCCAGGGCTGACGCGACCGTTACGGGGCCTTCGCGGGGCCTTAACGTGACCCTGACGGGCCCTGGTTTCGATTTCTGCTTCACGCGCCCTTCACGGGGCTTTCACGGAACCTTCACGGGCCTCAAACGGGCCCTACACCCGAATTCTGCAGCTTCGGTACTTTGCTAGGCCTTCACGGACCTTTGACGGAAGTTTCACCTCTGAAATTCGAGTCTCTAGGCTTGACTTAGCCAAAACGGAACTTTGACGGGAATTTCTCTCCAACACTAGAAAGGCTGCGTTCTGTGGGCGCATCAGCTCTGATGCGTCTGAGGCTCGGGCTGATGCGCACATTGAGAAATTGAGGTTCGGAACTGACAAAATTGAAATCGATAAATTAAGATTCAAGGTTCGGACAAGGTCCCCGAAATCTCTTATTTCCAATTTTCCGAATCTCGTCCGAACCTCGAATTTGGACATGTCAGATCTCGATATCCAATTTCCTCAATTTTCCAGAAATTTATGGGTTTCTAGGAAGTTAGACCGCAAATTTTTTAATGGTGCCAACCAATGAGGGTTTAGGAAGAAACAAATTGACGAATGAGGGTGCTCCGCACCAGCTGTGCACGCATCATGCGACTTCTCGGAGTTGCATGATGCGCGCATCAATGATGCGCCAGATTGCTAGGACGAGAAATTTCTCGTAAATCGGCGACATGTTAAATTTTGGTCGCCGAAAAGGCCGTTCTGCAGGCATTCGGATTTGTTTCGCTTCGGCAGCCATGCGCTTATCGCGAACCTTGATAACCTGACGGCAGTTATCACAGAAGTATCTTGGAGCCGTGGTAGAATGCATCAATGTACATTGATGCGGGCTGATGCGCCCACAGAACGCAGCCAAAGTTTCGACCAATCAGGTTTTAACACAAATTCCAACCGAGAGATCAATTGTGTTGCAATTGTGTTGATTACAATTGTCTAGTACAAACAGATTTATACCCTAACCAAAGCACACACACAAATTGGTAACAAAACGTGTTCTACAAGCAAACCCTTGCCCACGTTTCATGTCGCGTCGCACACGCAACCAACTCAAACTCGTTTGAACACGCCTCGGGTTCCTTATTGAACACTCAACTCCCCAACCAATCAAACCTTCCCGTCAATTCCTTTCCCGTCACTTCTTCACTTTTCTTCCACTAGTCAAACTTCTTCCTCGCACCTTCTTCCATACTTCTCTCGTATTTCACTTGCCGTTAACCACGCTCCTAAGCAACGTCGTAGCTTCCTTGCTTGTTTGTTCGATGCTTTCAACACGCCACCTCCAAACCGTCGGGCCGCCTTTTTTCCGCCGTCATTAGTCCTCCTGCCGTCGTTAGTGTGGTTCGTAGAAACCACTCCAACAGTGCGAGGGGACTCACCAGAGGGCCACCACGGTTCATCCACTCGGCGACTGGGTTTTGGCTTCGGACATGAAGCAATGGAATCTGGTTGCACTTATTAGGATGATTTTCTTACTCGCGCCGCGTGACTCCGACTAAATTGCGGAAAGAGCGTGGGAAGACACTAGTCTCTCGCTCAAACTTCCTTGCTCCTTGCAATTGAAGCTCGCTGAAACAATGGAAGCCTCAGGTTTGTGATCGCGAAAATTATTTTCCCCCCCATGTTTCCTATTTACGTTGAATGTTGAATCGAACCCCTTTATTCCAGTCCCCTTTGCATCCCTCCCTCTGCCCTCGGCAAGCGGCACGCAGCGCGGAACTAGCGACCATCTCGCTGAAGAGGGCCTCACAGCCAGCGAGCACTATAAAAAGGACGCCGTCACCTTTGGTGCCTCGTGGCCTCTGCTCTGCTGCGCTCTCGCCAGCAAGAGGCTTTCAACCTCGTCGTTGCTTTCTCTGTAAGCTCCCAGTACTCGTGTCTCCTCGTTATACATTACCTTCTTTCATTTCCATATCCCAGACCATCAAGTGCACCCATGAATGTCAGCTCAGCTTTCAACTTTCAGTGAGTCGAGGAAATGTTTGTCACAGCCGTAGCAACAAGAACCCGCAATTCTTTCACCTGCTGCGCGTGCGTGCTGCTGGCATCACTGAGCCAACTGTCACAGCTCATGCTCCTCCATGCTGCCAACTCCTCTCCCCATTCCTTTCTACCCTCCCACAACGGTCCTCAAACCGCAGGAGAGCCAGCACATCTCACTCGTGTACGATGACCAGTACCCTCAGTGGATGCAGACCATCCACTTCTTCCTCACCCGCCCAGGCCTCTACTCCCTTGACCTCCGCTTCTCCGACCCCGATATACTTCACACCCCCTCCCGCGCCGCCTACATCGCTCGCTGCAGCTCCTCTCTCTCGTCCCTCCGCCTGGAGCTTCAAAGCAAAGCATTTTTTTTCATGAAGAAGCAGGAGGCAAAGCATTGGACGCTGGGATTTATCAGCAGTTGCTCCCAGCTGCAGAAGTTTAGCCTGGGGTGGGGCATGTGGGTTCTGAACAAGCAGTGTGCAGGTGCCTCGTGGCTCAAATCGATCCACAAGCTGACCTTGGAGAGTGTAGACTTCAAGAATGTGAATTTCCATTTTCTCCAGTCCATCACTCCGCAGCTGCACGAGTTCACACTCCACGAGGAGAAAGAGTTGAGTCTTGGTCCTCGCCTTGCCTCGCGCACTCTCGCCTTTTCCTTCCCCAACGCCCGCCTCCTCCGCTTCCGCTTTCCTTGTAAGGAGCTCAAGCTCACCCTAACTGTCTCCCCTACGCTCAAGACTCTATCGGTGATGGCCAAGTGGCTCGTCCTCTCCTGCAAGAGCACCGCCCCTCTCGCTCTCCACCACCTCTCGCTGTACGGCCAGGAGCGACTCGTCAATTGCTCCCTCTGCCTTGCATTCGTCAGGGTTGCTTACGTGGACCGTCTACGCGGACTTATTCTGGACAGATTGGCTTTCCACTATTGCGCCGACTGTGGAGGTGCTTATAGTGCCACAGTGGATGCCTATAATAAGGGTGAATGCAGAGTGGAGGAGGCTGAGGAGCCTTGGGATTGTAGTACACACCAAGGGGAGGCATTACTGGGACAAGGAGGCCACTGTAGACAACTTCAGAACGCTCAAGGATGATGACTTTGAAGAATATTGAGGCGATAGAGATTTTTTGGAATTTTGCAACAATTAAGAGATGACAGTGCTGGTGAGTGGTACGAGCAGGCACGGGCACGCTACCGTGTGCATTTGGAAAGCATGCACAGGCTGCAGCTTAAGCAGAACATGTTTGCCAAGCCGCCTTCCATCGGCGCTCCGAATCTGCAATTCCTCTTCTTCCCTTCTAGCAAGGCATGCGACACACCCACACTGGCTGCACTGCAGCAGGACTACCCCGCCCTGGCGCTTTACTGTGTGGTGGACCGCTCCTTCTACTGGCACAGAAAGGGCGAGCATGTGAGCAATGGGCCACTGGAGATTGTGAGGAGGGAGAAGAGTGGGGTGTTGTGGGATGACGATGTTGGTAAGAAGCGGGCCAAGAATGTGAGGGAGAAGATGCACAGTGTGAATAAGAAGCTGGTGGAGGGGTACACAATTGATGAGGATGAGCTTTACGTGCTCCGGCATAAGGAACGCTTTTAGAATCAGCCTTTAGCTTGCACCTTTTCTTGACAAGGCATCATGAGGCATACAGCGGCACACGTCATTATACATTGGTTATCAGTTTACGGGCTTTGATTTATTCCAGTATCAGGTTTCATGCATCTGGGGTAATCGATATGGACACAAGGATATCGGACCAGTGCTTGCTTGATATGGACAGGTATTCCCTGTAGTGTACAGTTACGCTACATATGCAAATAACTAAATATGTGAGGATATATTCACGTCCATGGACATTATGTTTGTGACATAGACAGATTAGTTATATCATACTACTGCAAATCAATACTTACCGAGGCAAAACAATCGATCAAACCCCGTTCTGAGAGCACTTTTCTCAACTTTCTATCGCGTACGACGATGAATATGGAGACTGATGACTTGCATTCTCTTGGAATCTCAAGATCCAGCATGGCTGTCACATGTCGAGCTTCCACGCCATTCTCAGGAGGCCAAGTTATCCAAGTCGGTAGCGAGCGCTCTCACAACCACATTGAGCGGAAGCGAGATTTCCAGGTAGCGCTGCCGGAGGGGAGGGAAAACCCGTAGGAACGAGCATTTCGGACCATGTGGCTCCTCCTCGGGAACTCCTCTGTGCTTGAGTGTCTGACTGATAGCTGGTTTCACGTGCGTCAATTGGGCCGTCGCTGTTACTCATCCAGCTTCCCTACACCTTTCTCGCTTCCGTCCCGCTGCCAGCGCTCACGAACAGGGTTCGCGGAAACGGGTTTCGTAGTAACAAGGAGCATCGAGTACCACGCGCGTGTTCAATCCGCCAGCCGTGCAGGTAGATTTTGTGCCAAATTGGCGGGAGCCAGCTCGACAGACCTTGGCTGCTGAGCCTATCCAGCAAAGCCAACACGAGCAACAATTGGCGACGTGAAACGCGTCCTAGACCAGCCTGGCAGAGCCTGACGCGACAGAGGAACCTAGGGTATCGATCGACAGCTCTTTTACGGCATACGTGGTCCCGGCTGCGTGCGTGTCGTGCTGGTGGTGGTCCCGGCCACGTACGAGAGTGCTCACCAAATGGACTCCAGGATTTGTTCCCTCTGTGTCTAGGTCTTATTGGTCAGCGTCTGACGCTGTAGCAGGCTTCGAGTGCTGCCTGGGTGTGGAACTCCACGATTGCTGTGAAACAGCATTCCGTTTCGAATTTCCTGGGATCTTGCACGAGGAAGTTCCTCTGAATGAGCAAGGTAACTCTTGCAACGGCTGAGCAGGGTTGCCTGGTTTTGGTCAAATTGTGGAAAGTGCGGGTGAAGGCTACTGGTACCGAGTGTGGGTCGTGGGAAAACGCCATCATAGCGTAGCCTTTCCTGTGCCTAGTCCTGCCTGATACGTGCAGCATATGTCCCTAGTCTTTCCGTCTCCTTTCCGCAAGTGCCAGTCTCACGGTCTCACCTTCACACCTAAGGCCAGCACGTGATATACTCCCTGGAACCTGCTCTCGCCCGCTCATTCCCTGCAACCGAAATCTCTGAGACGATGGAGGCTTCAGGTCCGTGCTTGTTGAAGCTCCCTTTTCCGCCATATTTCAAGTTAATGCTAAAGCGAATAATTTTTTGCCAGTCTCGTTAACTCTCCCTAAAGCCCTTTCTCCTCCCTATTGGTTCATGCTGCAGCCAACACCTCCCCTGATGAAGTCGACATGCTGCCAGCGCCTATCTGGTTTCGAATCTTCCACCTTCTGCATCAACCGCCCTCCCAACTGGACGACGCTGATATCTTCCCTCAAAAAGAGGAGAAGAAGACGGAAACTGGCTCTGATGATTCCGAGACAGAAGAAGAATCAGAGGAAGAATCAGATGAAGAGACAGAGGATGAGGTAGAAGAGGTGGCAGAGCGGTTCCGTGAGGTTGAATGGTTCCGCACCCCTGGGTTCACTAACACCAGAACCAGCGACCATCTCACCAACACCAAGGTTGATCGCGATCGTCCGCCAGTTGTGTTCCAAGAAAAGGGCCTCACTGCCAGAGAGCAGCATGAGGAGAACGCTGATACCTATGGCGCTTCATGTTCTCTGCTCTGCTGCGCTCTCGCCAGCAAGAGGCTTCTCAATCTCGTCGTTGCTTTCTCCGTGAGCGCTCTCTCTCCACTCGTGTTTCGCCTGCACAAATTTCCCTCTTTCCACTTCCTCCTGGCAGATCTTGCACTTTATCATCGACCTTTCAGCTTTACCACCTACTCAGTGCACCCTTGCATATCAGCCTCCAGCTTCATTTCTTGTCATTTCAGATTTCATTGCTCATATTTCAGCTTTCAGCTTTCCTTTCACCTTTCAGAGTTTATTTCAGCATGGTTTCAGCTTTCAAAACAGCTTTTAGCTTTCAGATTTCATTCCAGCTGCCAGATTATATTTCGGCTTTCATATGTCATTTAGGATTTCAAATTTCGTTTCCATTCCAGCTTTTAGATTGCATTCCAGCTTTCAAATTTCAATTCAGCTACTCATCATTTGGCTTTCATTTCAGGCTTTCAGCTCTCAGCTTTGGTTTCACTTTCCATTCAGCTTTTATGTTTTGTTTCAGCATTCAGGTTTCATCTCAGCTTTCAGTTCCTCTTTCAGCTTTTCTTTCAGCCTATCAGCTTTCAGCCCTTAGCTTACAATTTGCTTTCAACTTTCCGTGCATGGGATGGATGACGTCTCCCACGGTCGTTAGCACCAAGAACTAAATTTCTTGCACCTGCTGCTTGTGCTGGTGACGCTGAGCACCAGGTGTGTGCCGAAGCCAACTTCCACACCTCAGATGTCTCAAATCTCCCACTCGTCCATGCTCCCACACCCCACCCACTTGCAATCGCAGGAGAGCCAGCCCATCTCGCTCGTGTACGGCGACCAGAACCCGCACTGGATGCGAACCGTTCGCTACTTCCTCGTCCGCCCGGGCTTACACTCGCTTCACCTCCGCTGCTCTGACTCGAAAAAACTCCCCACACTTGGCACCTACATCGCTCGCTGCAGCCACTCCCTCTCGTCCCTCCGCCTGGAGATACAAGGCGATGTTGGCTCCTCCAAGGGCCAGGAGAGCGAGTGCTGGAGGCTGGAATTTCTCAAGGACTGCGCCCAGCTGCAGGAGCTGAATTTGGGGCGGGGCATGTGGAAACTCAACTGGCAATGTGTGAACACGTCATGGTTCAAGTCAATCCGCAAGCTGACCCTAGAGCACATTCATTACGGGAGCATGAGCTTCCAGTTTCTCGAGATTATCACGCCGCAGCTGCATGAGTTCACGCTCTATGAGGACGGCAACGTGCTTCGTGAACATCCCCGCGTGCCCTTCACCACCACCCTCGCCTTCTCCTTCCCCAACGCACGCCTCCTCCGCTTCCGCTTTGCCAGCACTGAGCTGCACCTCACCCTCACCGTCCCGCCCTCCCTCGAGACCCTATCAGTCGTGGCCAAACGTCTGGTCCTTTCCTGCAAAAGCAGTGCCCCTCTCGCTCTCCACCACCTCTCGCTATACGGCCAGGAGCAGCTTGTCGTCTCCTCCCTCCGCCTCGCATCCACCAGAGTTGCCTACTTGGACGGACCTACCAGTGACCAGGGAGTTTTTTCCTGGACGGAATTGCTTGGCACTATAGCGCCAACAGTGGAGGTGCTTATAGTGAGGCATGGGGTGCCTATAAAGAAGGTGGAGGCGGAGTGGGGGAGGCTGCAAAGCCTTGGGATTGTCGTGCCCCCCTGGGACAAGAGTGCCCGTGTGAACAACTGGGGAATGGGAATGGTCTCGGATGACGATGAGGGTGAGGAGCATCTAGACGATGGCAGGTTGCGCTTCTCTTGGGCGGATGAACCGGGTTATTTCGGCTCGGAGCCAGATGAGGAAGTGGATGAGGATGACTACATGTTTGATGATGCTGATGAGGATGAGGATGATGATGATGATGATGGTGATGATGATGAGGCTGAGGATGATGACGATGAGGATGATGATGACGATGATGGTGTTGGTGACTTTGGTTGTTACGATGATGACCGGCTGTTTTGGGCAATGTATGGTCCAGAAATAACAGCCAAGATTAAGGATCAGGAGCGGTTGATGAAGGCCTTCCCCAAGCCGCCGTCCATCCGCGCTCCGAATCTGCGGTTCCTCTTCTTTCCCACCCGCAAGGCGTGTAATGCGCCCGCACTGGCTGCACTGCGGCAGGACTACCCCGCCCTGGCGCTCTACTGTGTGGTGGACCGCTCCTTCTATTGGGAGAGGAGAGGCAAGACGGTGAGCAATGGGCCGGTGGAGCATGTGAGGAGGGAGAAGAGTGGGGTGTGGGATGAAGAAGTGTGGGAGATGCGGGCCAAGAAAGTGAGGGAGAAGATGCACAGTGTGAACAGGAGGCTGGTGGAGGGGTACTGTGCTGGGGAGGACCAGGTTCATGTGCTGCAGTGTCAGTAGAAGGGATGCTTCTAGTATTTGCCTCCATGTTTGGGCAATTTGCATTCTTGCCAATAGAGCATGACAATGGCATGTATTGGACGAGGTAGCATAAGTGTAACCGCAGGAGTCATGATACCGTATGTAGGTTATGATTACTACACTGTTTCATTCAATTTTGTTTCATGCATGTCTGATGTTTTAGCTTCCATAAATTTTACCGATTATTGTACAGTAACTGTAGAGAACGAAGCCCACCCAGCTGGTCATACAATCTACCACGTAAACGTCGGCATCATGATACCAGGGCCCTCGCTAGTCTCTGAACCCCCCTGAGGCGTCAGACGGGCCCTTCGGGCCCGTCTGACTGGTCAGAAAATTTTCACGCCCCTGTCTTTCGCATCAGAAATTCTAACATTACTTGGCTTAAAAATCAGATTTTGTAACCCGTCCCTACTGTAACTACAACTACTACTCAGCTATTCTCTACAAAGAAAACATATCAAGAATAACTATCTAGCTATCTGAGTCAGAGTCAGATGCCTCATTGTCACTCAGTGTAACAGTTGCACGCACATCCACTCCTTCATCCTCACTGTCGCTATCTACTATGTGAGTTTTGGCTTTCTTCCTCTTGGCTTCTCCGTCGTCATTGGACGGCGCTTTCTGAGCTGTCGTGTAAGGTGCTAGATCCTCCCTGTCTCCCTGCCTCCCTGCCGCTTCCGTCTCTGCCTCCCTGCGCTTCGCAGTTGCCACTCCACTGACTTCTTTGGCAGGGCGCCTCTTCTTTGCCCCGCGCCACAGCTTCACCACGTTGTCCCAGTCTGGTTCGTAGTCAAGCAGGGAGATGCACATGAGGTCGGAGAGTCGCGCATTGCAGAGGTTGTTCCTGAGCCACGACTTGATTACGTTTTGGCGACTGAACCCTCGCTCGCACTCCACAGTGCTGAGCGGAAGAACAGCCACTGCCACCCAAAGTCGAACCAGATTGGGGAAAGAAGACTCCCAATCCCCGCTCCTGAGCATGTTCTTAAGTGCCACGTGGAAGGATTGATCCTTGTACTGTGACACCATCACGCGGGTGAAACGTGGAAGCTCCCGCTCGGCCTTCTTCCAGTTGACTCCTGCAAGCACACAGCACATCTAGTTAGCATCCCACTATGTAGACGGATCGTTACACAAACAAGGGATTAGGGACAACGCGGAATTTGAAAACACGTACCTGGCAGAGCGCACTGCTCGGCGTTGAACATCTTGCGAAGGGAGCTGAACCACTCCGCGCACAGACGGTCGCGCTTGTTCACGCCATCCGGATAGGCGTCTGGCAGACATAGCTTGGACCCAACGAGGGACTTCAAGCTTCGCATGCGGTACTGTAGCCTGCCGATCACCTCCTTCGCAAACAGGGTGGCGAGGGACACGCAGGACTCGACGTCACCCGAGGGATCCTCTTTCTTCTTCGCATCCAGCTCGTGCAGCTTGAAGGTGTGTTTGACGGCGTTGCCGTCTCCATCCATCCCCTCCACCTGGACCACCCGCTTGGACGGATGGGAGTGCGCTTCGAGGAAGGCAGTGAGGTGCTCGCTGTCCTCCGCGAAGTTCACCCTGTACTCCACATAGCGCGCGTTCAACTTCTCGCAGGTGTTTTGCACCTGCCCCATGACACGGGTGATGTCCACCTGCGACATCACGCACAAGCACAATGTTAATCACTGACATTCGGGACTAGAGCGAATTTCAAAATCGGCGACCGTTAATTACACGCTCACCGATCGTCGCTGAAACCGCTTGTTGAGCTCGTTCAATTCCTTCAGGACATCAGCGAGAAAAAAAAGAAAGAAATGAAATTTGAGGCTCGTAACCAGGTGATACGTCGTGCTGTCTTTCTCGTGGAGCAGCACTATGGCAGCCGGCAGAACAGCGACAAGTCTCGAAACAGCATCGCCCCGCGACAGCCAGCGAACATCGAAAATCCCCTGCATCTCCAAGTTCGTGGCGTGAATCACGGTTTGCAGCTCGTGGAACCTCTGGTGGACGACGCAGCTTCCGCCAATGAGGGTCGCGATGGCGCGGATCCCTTGGTCGACGATGTTGAAGGCGGGGATGTTCGTCGCGGCATCCTTGGCTGCGAGAGCCTCTCTGTTAGATGATGGAAAAAAAAACCAAGTGAGTAGGGGGGGATGTATCTGACAACAATACTGCAAAATTTGAAGTGCAAAATACCTCACCGGTGAGCAAGGCAATGACACGCGACAAGATGCGGAACTCGCATCTTCAGCTGAACCACCAGCCCATTCTGACTGCCCAGCATGACGTTCGCGCCATCCGTGCTGATGCCGGAGATCTTGTGCATGTCAACCCCGTTGCAGTCCAGATGCGCCAGCAAGACGGCGAGCAGAGATGAAGCGTCGCCCTTCTCCACGGTTAGGTGCCCGAAAAGCTCGGTCACCGCCTTCTCCTCCTTCATGAAGGTTAGGTAGACGATGAGATGCTTGCCCTTCCTCCGATCAGTCGACTCGTCGAGCTGAATCCCGAGAAAGGGCGACTCTTGGATGTATCGCATCTGACGGGCCTTCAGGTGCTGCACCATGGCTTCGGTCATCTCCCGAAACCCATATCTGCCATAATGAAAAGCACGACAATATGTCAATGATGATGAGTACCTAAACATCACATCACGTTGCATTACTCACTCTGTCTGGTAGGTGCCGATGGCCTTGTCGGGAATGTTGGGGGTCTTCAGAACGTGTAGCAGGTGCACAAGGCCAACAAAGAGCGCAATAGGTGCATCCGACTTGCATATGAAAAGCACCACTAATAGAAGTTGTTTCAAACGCTCAATCTCCCCCACCCCGTCCTCATACTCATCAATCCCTCGTTGAGTAACTTTACCTCCTTCGGCTCGGGCTTTACGATCGAGGGCGTCCTGATGCTTGCGACTCAGACCATGGTTGCGCATGGTCTGCTTCTGGATGTCCACGCCACCCTCGCCCGCCTTGCCGTACTGCCAGTGTGGCGGTCCGTATCTGATGCAGACAGTGCACTTCATGCACGGGCGACCATCCTTCCTTTGTGATATCAGCAGCCAGGGGAAACGACGTTGCCAGATGTCGGTGCACTTCTTCTTCAGTCCTTCGAGAAGCGCGTCAGGATCCGGAACCAAAATAGACGGCCTGGACGGCCCTGGATCCGAAGGCACCCTGCTCGTGCCAGTCGCTGGAGTCAGCGGAGTAGCAGCAGCTGCGGGAGAGGGCGACCTTCCTTGCGTGAGGCGCACATGAGGTACGCGAGTTCGAGCAAACCGAATAGTCGATTGAGTGAACTTCCCGAACTTCGGGAACCGGGAGACGCCTGCGCTTCGGACAGCACTGACCGTGGGAGTTGCGACGCGCCCGGTCGCTCTAGTGGGCGACTCTTCCACAGGCGGATCGCTCAGCTGTTGCCGCTGATTAAAATCCGGCCAGGGCTCCGTGCTTGCCGTTGGTTCGTTGTTGGTAACTGGGGGCTGCACAGGCGGATCTCTTTCAGGCGTGGCGGTAGGCGGACCGCCTCTCAGAAAGTCGAGACCAGTAAGTGGACGATGCGACCTAGCAGGGTCATCATCGTCCCTACAATCCATGGCTACAGGGCCCTAGGAGGATGTTGTCAAGACGGTAGAGAGAGCAGGGGAAAGAATTCCCCTGTGCTAGCGAGTGAAAGGAGCGTTGGAGAGGGAGGGGGAGCCAGCCGAGCATTATCAGCTGAATGAGGTGCATGCATGATCTTACAACGCACCGCGGTGCCCCACTCCATCCTTCGTCCAGCGGGACGTTGGGCAACAGTCGGTGCGAGTCGCGCGAGGCTCTGCAATCCACACAACTCATGCGCTGGCGTGAAAGTGGACCAGTAACAGAAAGACTTGCTCCACTTTCGTCTCAATGTGGCCCAAGTTGGCCAGACGTGCGCCAGATTGCCAGCACTTGACTTCTGTCAGTGCGCTCCGCTGCGCTGTCACCGCAATCACGCATACAGGTCTACTGATCGTGCTGTGATTGGCGCAGCTAACCCATATCACGCGTCAATCACGGCAGACTGTATAAAAGTCGGTTTCAGACGGAACTGATACAAGTGCCTGGAAAATCAGAGGAATAGCTACACGCACGTCTTTTTCATCAGACAAAATGGGAATCTCATATCTTATTCATCAGATTTCCCAAACGTTCCATTTCTTAAAAATCAGATTACGTAAAAAAAATCCGTCTTATTCCTCAGAAAAACAGACAAAAATGTCTGATAGCGAGGGCCCTGCTTCACATCCATGCACATCCATCATCGTAATGCAGGCAGAATGCATGATGATAGCACACAATTGGGTGTGCCTGCAGTGCAGAGAGGGATGAAGCGAGGAGGAGACGAGCGCGTCAGGCGGAGGGCAGCAGCAGCGCAGCAGCAACGGACCGACCCTCCTCGTTGAGCACGTTGAGTGTGGATATGGCATGGCGCTGGTGGGGTGATGGGGGAGGAGGGGAAGAAGGGAATGACGGAGGATAGATGTGTGCATGGCTACGGCATGTCCCCACTTGTTGAGGATGTTGGGTGTGGATATGGCATGGCGCTGGTGGGGGGATAAGGGGAAGGGAAGGGGGCGGATATGAAGGAGGACAGGGGTAGCTGTGTGGCTATGCCACGGCCCTCCTCGTTGAAAACGTTCAGCATCGCTATGGGGTGGCGCTGGTGGGGGGTGGGGGCAAGGAATGGCGGGAGGGACAGGAGGTAGGAAAGAGATCGACGTGTGGATATGGCATGGGCAGGAGAGACATGAAGGGCTATACATCCTCATTGAGAACGTTCAGCATCACTATGGCATTTGGCTGGTTGGGCGGGGAGGAGGAGGGAGAAGGTGGGACGGGAGGACGGAAAGAGGTGGAGGTGCGGGATTGGCACGGATGGCCGTCCACGTTGTGCGCGTTGAGCGTCGCTATGGCGTGGTGCAGAAATGATGGGGGGAATGGCATGGTGCAGAAATGATGGGGGGAATGGCATGGTGCAGAAATGATGGGGGGAATGGCATGGTGCAGAAATGATGGGGGGAATGGCATGGTGCAGAAATGATGGGGGGAATGGCATGGTGCAGAAATGATGGGGGGAATTGGCGTGGTGCAGAAATGATGGGGGGAATGGCATGGTGCAGAAATGATGGGGGGAATGGCATGGTGCAGAAATGATGGGGGGAATGGCATGGTGCAGGAAATGATGGGGAGAATGACATGGTGCAGAAATGATGGGGGGAATGGCATGGTGCAGAAATGATGGGGGGAATGGCATGGTGCAGAAATGATGGGGGGAATGGTATGGTGCAGGAAATGATGGGGGGAATGGCATGGTGCAGAAATGATGGGGGGATTGGCATGGTGCAGAAATGATGGGGGGAATGGCATGGTGCAGAAATGATGGGGGGAATGGCATGGTGCAGAAATGATGGGGGAAATGGCATGGTGCAGAAATGATGGGGGGAATGGCATGGTGCAGAAATGATGGGGGGAATGGCATGGTGCAGAAATGATGGGGGATTGGCATGGTGAAGAAATGATGGGGGGAATGGCATGGTGCAGAAATGATGGGGGGAATGGCATGGTGCAGAAATGATGGGGGGAATGGCATGGTGCAGAAATGATGGGGGGAATGGCATGGTGCAGAAACGATGGGGGGAATGGCATGGTGCAGAAATGATGGGGGGAATGGCATGGTGCAGAAATGATGGGGGGAATGGTCTGGTGCAGGAAATGATGGGGGGAATGGCATGGTGCAGAAATGATGGGGGGAATGGCATGGTGCAGGAAATGATGGGGGAATGGCATGGTGCAGAAATGATGGGGGGAATGGCATGGTGCAGAAATGATGGGCGGAGGGGTCAGGGGATTAGGGAAGTGATCGGAGTGGTGCTGTGCGGTGATAGGAGTGGTGCTGTGCAGTGATGGGAGTGGTTCTGGGCAGTGATAGGAATGGTGCTGTGCGGTGAAAGGAGATGAAGAGTTGCATTGATGTTGTTAGATATGTAAGACTTGGGTCAATAATTGAGGATTCGTTGGTGTATAAGGGATCATCCCCCATCCATCCAACCTCATGCCACAAGCCCAAACCCACTAGCACCACCAGCGTTCCCATCAGTAGCAGAGGCACTCACAGTGGAGAGCACTTCGAGCTTCATGGCAGCACTACGAGCAGGGCTACGAGCAGTAGTCTTAATGCTACCAGCACTACCACTTGGCAGCTGTACCGCAAATGCGTTTTGAGTGAACTTCACGATGTGTTTTGAGTCGACTCAAAACATACCAGCACTACCAGCACTACCAGCTGTACTGCAAGTGAACTTTCATGATGCTCACTGTACAGTACTGATGGGGCTCGCTGCACTCACAGTAGAGAGCACTTCAAGCTTCATGCCACACGCCCTCACAAACTCCCTCAGCTGCCCCGGCACTGCCTGCATGCGCTGCCCCGTGCCCAGCAGCAGTAGCTCTGTGCAAGACGGGTGGTAGTGGGGAACAGGAGGCGGGCGGGGAAGACGCTTTTTGAAGGGAGAAGAGGGGAAGGGAGGAAATGGTTGCTTTCTATGCCTTGCCCATTCCATGCCATGCAATGCCCATGCCATGCCCATGCCATGCCCATGCCCATGCCCATGCCATGCCTCTCATGCCATGCCTCCCATGCCATGCCATGCCATGCCTCACCTTTTGAAGCTCAGACATGGCATGCCCTACACGGCAGCAGCACAGCATTCACAACACACCACACACTCAGCACGCCCTCTTCAAGAGCAATCCCAACGAGCAACGTCACAGGCAGCACAGAGCATTCACAGCAGCCTGGCATTCAAAAGAGCATACCTGGTTGCGGGCGAATGAGCTGAAAGAGAGCCAGGCTGTGTGGAAGGGACAGGCAGGGGCGGCAAGGGGGTAAAAAAAGACGACGGGAGTGGAGCGGATGAAGAGGGGTTAGGCAGGGGCAGGGAGTGAGGTCGAGGTAAGGAGAGAGTACGGGAGAGAGGGTGGCAGGTAAAGGCTAAACTGCAAGCCCGGGTGGGAAATTGGGAAGAAATGGCGGGACCCACAGATAAGCCACAGGAAAATGGGGAAAATGGACAGAAGGCTTAAGCGGAGACCACGCAGGTTGCTTGGTTTGGCTTGGGTAGAGAGCTCGCATGTTGTTTGGCGTATGACAAAGAGGTGGTGGCAGGGCAGGGAGGGACGGATGGAGACGAGTGAAGCGAGGGGGTGAGGAGGGCCAAAAGCACATTGTGGCGGGGTGGCAGAGAAAGAGGAGGACGGAGGCGGTAAGGGCATGCGAGGAAGAGAGAGGCGAGTGGCGCGACGCGAGAGGATGGAGGAGGACGCAGAAAGGAAGGTAGACCTGCCATGTGCCGAGACGTCATGAGCGCAGCAAACGTATGAAGGGAAGAAGGAGTGCCATGGAATGGAAGATTGACCAACACCAGCAGCCGTGACAGCTCTGCGGTTACAACCGCTGCCACACCCCTCTCCTCCCTCAACCCTCACCCTCACCCCTCACCCCTCTCCCCCCTCCCATCCCCCTCACCCGCCTCACCCATCTAACCCCCCCCCTCTCTTCGCACTCGCTCCTCTCCCCTCACCTGTCGGGTGTGACGTCAGCGAGGCAGGAGGGCGACCAGCAGAGCGCCACGTCACCCACACAGAGGATGGAGGAGTCCAGGTCCCTGCCGCCCACCGTGAAGCCCTTGTCGTCGTACCTGCAGCGGGCGTGGGCAATGGGTACAATGGGCGCAGTGGGTGCAGGGGATGCAGTGGGTGCAATGGGCGCATGGAAGGACACGATATGTGTGAGCCACAAGGCCAGTCCAAGTCCCTGCCGCCCACCGTGAAGCCCTTATTGTCGTACCTGCGACAGGGGAGTGTGGGGGTGCAGTGGGTGCAATACAGAGGGGGCATGGAGAGGTAGCATAAAGGAATAAGATCAGCATGAGCCACAAGTCGAGTCCACGTGCCGCCCACCGTGAATCCCTTGTTGTTGTACCTGAGAGAGGGGAATGCAAGGGAGCAGCGGGTGCATGCATGGAAAGAGATGCCGGGCTTGGTCAGACTTGCATGGCACGGCACGGCACGGCACGGCACGGCACGGCATGACACGGAATGGCACGGCATGGCATGGCATGGCATGGCACGGAATGAGGGAGGGAGGGAGGGAGGGAGGGAGGGAGGGAGGGAGGGAGGGAGGGAGGGAGGGAGGGAGGGAGGGAGGGAAGGGAATGGAAGGGGTGGGGAAGCGTCACTCACGCGAGGATGAACACGTACCCGAAAGTCTCAGCAATGAGCTAGATGGGGGAGAGCGAGATGGGGAGAGAGCGGGGAACAGAGCGAGGGAGGGTGCAGAGAAGAGGAGCGCGGGGGGAGAGGCACTCACGCGGTGATAAACACGCGTCCGCTGCTCTCCGCCGCCCCTTCCAGCACGTTGAAATTAGACGGCTCCGCTGCCCGCGCAACGGCGGACGGCGCGGCTGCTAGGTTGACTCTAGATGGTCCGGCCGCCAGACCCCTTCGTTGCTGTTGCTGGTGGGAGTGGTGGGGGTGGTGCTGGTGATGGGAGAGGGAGTGGGAGGCGCGGTGGTGGTATCTAAGAGGGGTGGTCTCATTTTTCTCAACCAATTGGTGCGGCTGTGCCGCCGCATGTGCGGGTGTGTCGCAGCCATCCCCGCTATAAGGTCGGCCGTTATACGTGGATTCACTAACCGCGCCTACAACGGCGCCGCTAAGAGTCGGCGCCCCGGAGGCACTTGTGGGCGGCAGGCGAGGCGACGCGCTTGCCAGTAGTGGACGGCACAGCGCGCCGAGCTTCGATCGCGCAGTCATGGCAGAGTACGTAATATAAGGCGCGCGGGGTGGAGGAGGGAGCACGAGAAAAAAGGTGCAAGGAACGGCCGCACGGTTGCGGAAGCGAGGAAAGGATGTGGGAGGGGTGGAGAGGAATGGAGCGTAGCGCGGAGAGATGTGACACGTCGGCGAAAAGTAGCAGCAGCGCGCGCGAGAGAACGGGATGTGCGCGCGTAGAGCGGGGCAAATTTGAGAGGAGCGAGGAGATGAACCATGGGATGGGATCAGCATGAGAGACAATGCGGCAGAGACATACTCGGTACAACTGGTTGTTATGAGTGCGCGGATTTCACAACCTAACTGAAATGCACTCGAAGCGAAAACTACAGAATACAACTGAAGACTACTGAATGGGAGACCTACGAGGCCTCATTTATAAAGGCAGGTTCGAGCTAGGCGTGAAGCTCGGGCTCAACGAGGCTCGGATGTTTGGGGAAAGGTGCGGAGGGCGACTCGGAAGTGGTTCGGTCCGAGTTTGTAGGCCGAACCAGCTGACGCGAGCCGCTCGGCACATAGCCGAAAAAGTCTGACTACAGTAAGGAATTATGATTTCTTACTCCGATAGGAATAACAGCTGAATAAACTTGAAGGATGGTTTATAAGTTGATTAATCGTAGGGTTATGGACGACGCCTCAGGGACCTTATCCAATCAAAAGACGATTTAAATAGCTGAGAAAAAAAAGAAGCAAAAACAACATAATAACACACTCCCTCTCAATTTCCTCCAAATCAGGGCTTTCTTTCCAGCACCGACAAGCCTTGACATGACAGGGCACCTCAGCACCTTGATCAGTCGGCACCAGCAATCAAGCAATCACAGTACGGCTCGAAACATCACCCATTGGCCTCCACCACCACATGCCCACACAAGCTTTACGAATTACATGCATCTCTAAGCGTCACTACCAATAAGCTCCCGCTCAATCTCCTCCAAGCTCCGCCCCTTGGTCTCCACCACACACGCGCGCACAAACACCACCCCGACAAAGCACACCGCCGCAAACCCCACATACGCTGCCGCCACACCCACCACCTTCACAAACCCTAAAAAGGAGAGGCCTATAACGAAGTTGCAGAGCCAGTGCGTGGTGAGCGCTGCTGCCACAGCAGAGGCGCGGATGTTGGAGGGGAAGATCTCGGGGAGGAGTAGGGCCGGCACGGGTCCGGCTCCCATGGCAAAGGAGAGAACGTAGGCGACTGTTCCCAACACAGAGAGCGGCGCTGCTACGGGCTGGAGTGGCGGGAAGGAGAGCGTGAGGGCTAGAAGCAGCATCGAACAGCCCTGAGGGATGGGAGTTGGGGGGATGGGAAATGGGGAAGGGGAAGACGAGGAATGTGAGAGCAGGACGGGGGATATGGATGAATGGTTTTTTAACAACAGGAGAGCACCGCGGGCACGGGTCCGGCTCCCATGGCAAAGGAGAGCACATAGGCAATGGTGCCGAGGAGGGAGAGTGGGGCAGCTATGGGCTGCAGCGGTGGGACAGAGAGGGTGAGCGCAAGGACGAGCATGGAGCAATCCTGGTGGGATGGGGGGTTTGGGAGAGGGTTGGGGGGTGTTGAGACAGGAGTGGGAAATGCGAGAAAGAAAGGGAGCAGGGTTGAGTGGATTGACCAAGGAGAGGACGTAGGCAATGGTGGTGATGACATAGAGATGGGCTGCTATGGGCTGGAGAGGTGGAAAGGAGAGGAGGGAAGGAGATGTGGAAATGAGAGGGCGAGGGCCAATCTGATGAACAGGATTGCCCAGGTGAGATGGGGAAGTAGGCAATGGGAGATGGGAAGGGATGAGCAATGTAAGCATTGGGATGAATTTGGCGAGAAAACGGCAGCAGCATTTGATAGAGAGTGAGCATTGACATGTGATGCAATGCCAGCCAGCCAGCTTTTGAGGCGCGTCAAAAATCGTTGCATTGAAATGACATGCAATGTGAGCCAGAGATGCAACAATCATGCAAGATCAAGGTGCCATGCATTTCTGCATACCATCATACATGCATATCACCATGCCCCAACACCATACCATACCACCCATCACACCGCCCTACCATGCCCCACCAACCAACACCGCGCCCTACCATGCCCCACCACCCACCACAGCGCCCTACCATGCCGGTAAAGGACCCCATGAGCAGGCTCTTGCGGCCCTGACGGTCCACCAGGTTGAGTGAGACTGCCGTGCCTGCTTGGTGGGTGGCACGGATGGAAGAAAGGATGCAGCGCGAGAGAGGAAAAAAAGGATGGAGTGATAAAATGGCAACCACGTGGGTGCACACGACAGGAGACAGCGCTGCCATGTGCGGCAGCGAGCACAAGGCTGGGGGCAGGGCGAGACAAGCACAGCCAGTTGCATGCGCGGAGCAGCTGCATAGTGAGAAGCACACCCAGACAGGTGTTTGGCCCTGAACCTAGCACGCTATCTCAGCACACCTAGCACGCCATATCAGCACCTTACCTTGCATGGTATTCGCCTGTACCTAGCACGTCAGCAAGGCCCACGAGGAGACTGGCAGCAACGTCTGACTGGATGCCGGCAGTGCCACACCATGGTGCTGCTCACTCTGCCATGTGCTATGTGCCATGCCCCATGCGCGATGCACTATGTGTGATGCGCCATGCACCACCAGGCATGTCAACATTCACCTGAAGCTCAGCCCTGTACGTGTGTTTTGAGTCGACTCAAAACACACCTGAAGCTCAGCCCTGTACGTGTGTTTTGAGTCGACTCAAAACACACCTGAAGCTCAGCCCTGTACGTGTGTTTTGAGTCGACTCAAAACACACCTGAAGCTCAGCCCTGTACGTGTGTTTTGAGTCGACTCAAAACACACCTGAAGCTCAGCCCTGTACGTGTGTTTTGAGTCGACTCAAAACACACCTGAAGCTCAGCCCTGTACGTGTGTTTTGAGTCGACTCAAAACACACCTGAAGCTCAGCCCTGTACGTGTGTTTTGAGTCGACTCAAAACACACCTGAAGCTCAGCCCTGTACGTGTGTTTTGAGTCGACTCAAAACACACCTGAAGCTCAGCCCTGTACGTGTGTTTTGAGTCGACTCAAAACACACCTGAAGCTCAGCCCTGTACGTGTGTTTTGAGTCGACTCAAAACACACCTGAAGCTCAGCCCTGTACGTGTGTTTTGAGTCGACTCAAAACACACCTGAAGCTCAGCCCTGTACGTGTGTTTTGAGTCGACTCAAAACACACCTGAAGCTCAGCCCTGTACGTGTGTTTTGAGTCGACTCAAAACACACCTGAAGCTCAGCCCTGTACGTGTGTTTTGAGTCGACTCAAAACACACCTGAAGCTCAGCCCTGTACGTGTGTTTTGAGTCGACTCAAAACACACCTGAAGCTCAGCCCTGTACGTGTGTTTTGAGTCGACTCAAAACACACCTGAAGCTCAGCCCTGTACGTGTGTTTTGAGTCGACTCAAAACACACCTGAAGCTCAGCCCTGTACGTGTGTTTTGAGTCGACTCAAAACACACCTGAAGCTCAGCCCTGTACGTGTGTTTTGAGTCGACTCAAAACACACCTGAAGCTCAGCCCTGTACGTGTGTTTTGAGTCGACTCAAAACACACCTGAAGCTCAGCCCTGTACGTGTGTTTTGAGTCGACTCAAAACACACCTGAAGCTCAGCCCTGTACGTGTGTTTTGAGTCGACTCAAAACACACCTGAAGCTCAGCCCTGTACGTGTGTTTTGAGTCGACTCAAAACACACCTGAAGCTCAGCCCTGTACGTGTGTTTTGAGTCGACTCAAAACACACCTGAAGCTCAGCCCTGTACGTGTGTTTTGAGTCGACTCAAAACACACCTGAAGCTCAGCCCTGTACGTGTGTTTTGAGTCGACTCAAAACACACCTGAAGCTCAGCCCTGTACGTGTGTTTTGAGTCGACTCAAAACACACCTGAAGCTCAGCCCTGTACGTGTGTTTTGAGTCGACTCAAAACACACCTGAAGCTCAGCCCTGTACGTGTGTTTTGAGTCGACTCAAAACACACCTGAAGCTCAGCCCTGTACGTGTGTTTTGAGTCGACTCAAAACACACCTGAAGCTCAGCCCTGTACGTGCGTTGTGAGTCGACTCAAAACACACCTGAAGCTCAGCCCTGTACGTGTGTTTTGAGTCGACTCAAAACACACCTGAAGCTCAGCCCTGTACGTGTGTTTTGAGTCAACTCAAAACACACCTGAAGCTCAGCCCTGTACGTGTGTTTTGAGTCGACTCAAAACACACCTGAAGCTCAGCCCTGTACGTGTGTTTTGAGTCGACTCAAAACACACCTGAAGCTCAGCCCTGTACGTGTGTTTTGAGTCGACTCAAAACACACCTGAAGCTCAGCCCTGTACGTGTGTTTTGAGTCGACTCAAAACACACCTGAAGCTCAGCCCTGTACGTGTGTTTTGAGTCGACTCAAAACACACCTGAAGCTCAGCCCTGTACGTGTGTTTTGAGTCGACTCAAAACACACCTGAAGCTCAGCCCTGTACGTGTGTTTTGAGTCGACTCAAAACACACCTGAAGCTCAGCCCTGTACGTGTGTTTTGAGTCGACTCAAAACACACCTGAAGCTCAGCCCTGTACGTGTGTTTTGAGTCGACTCAAAACACACCTGAAGCTCAGCCCTGTACGTGTGTTTTGAGTCGACTCAAAACACACCTGAAGCTCAGCCCTGTACGTGTGTTTTGAGTCGACTCAAAACACACCTGAAGCTCAGCCCTGTACGTGTGTTTTGAGTCGACACAAAACACACCTGAAGCTCAGCCCTGTACGTGTGTTTTGAGTCGACTCAAAACACACCTGAAGCTCAGCCCTGTACCTAGCACGTTGGCGAGGCCCACAAGGGCACTGGCAGCGACGTCGGATTGAATGCCGGCGGAGCGGAAGACAGAGGAGGAGTAGTAGATGATGGCGTTGATGCCCGCGAACTGCTGCACTGCGAACAGCGCCATGCCCAGCAGCACCACTGGGAGGGGGTTGGGGTTGGGGATGGGGCGGTAGAGGGAACGGGGCAAACGGGGTTGAACGGGGGTTGATGGAGGAACCGGGGAGTAAGAAATAGGGTGGGAAGGGGACCGGGAGGAGTAGTAGATGATGGCATTAATGCCGGCGAACTGCTGCACTGCGAATAGCGCCATGGCCAGCAGCACCACTGGGGGGGGAAAGTGGAAGCAAGGGGAAGGGGAGGAGGGCGAGATGGTGGAGACGGGGGGTTGTGGGGAGGGGGAGGGCGTGGGGAGGGGACTGGGTAAAGGAATAGTAGATGATGGCGTTGATGCCCGCAAACTGCTGCACTGCGAACAGCGCCATGGCCAGCAGCACCACTGGGGGAATGTCAGAAGGGAGGAGGAACAGGAGGGTGGGGGAAAGAAACGGAGGAGGTCATGGCGGATAGTGCGACTGTGCAATGAGAGAGGCACGGAAGGAGCATCATTGGACCAGCAGGGATGGAGAAGGGGTGGGAACGGAGTGAAGGGTTGGGAAGGGAAAGAAGAGTGGCGAAGGAAATGAAGGGTTGGGAGCGGTGGTGAGCGGTGGCTGGGCTTGGGATGGCAGTGGTATGTTGTTGTGCCCGTACCTGTTGAGATTTAGAGCCTGCCTATTAATCAACTGCAACAGTACCTTTGCGGTAGCGCTTCGAAAAGAGGGTGAAGAACGATGCGGCAGGTGCTTCGTCTGCCCGTTTCCTCGCAACACCTGCCTCTGCCTCCGCCAACCCATCCACCGCTGCACCTGCTGCTCCCTTGGCGGAGGCAACAGGTTGAGGCGAGGAGGAGGAGAGCTCCGCTGCAGCAGCAGCAGCCTGGGAGGGACCCAGCAGGCGCTTTAGCTGCCTCTCGGCCTCGTCAATCCTGCCCACCTGGGGGGGCAACAGGCAGGGGAGAAAGGTGGGGGGCAATGTAGGGAAGAAGGGGCAGAGGAAAGGCCGTCTGGGGCTCTCGACCTCTGAGGCGCCCACAGCATGCCTGCAGCACACATAGGCAAATGCTTTCACCACACAACTTGCCATTCTTCCACCGCACAACATGACATGCCCACTCATCGCACCTTAGCCAACTATCAGGGGCTCTCAGGCGCCGACAGCATGCCAGCAGCACACATGAACACATACTCTGTTACCACCCCACGCCATGCCGTGAACCCATCCCACACCATGCCATGCCCACTCAACCCACCTTCGCGAGCCATCTGGAGCTCTCAGGTGCCCACAGCATGCCTGCAGAACACATGAATACATCCCATCCCACACCACCTACACTCCCAGCCACCACCATGCACACATAATCACCTTGACCAACCACGATGCAAACCCCCAACTCATCCCACCTTAGTGATCCATCTGGAGCTCTAAGGTTCCCACACCATGCCAGCAGCAAACAAGAACGCATGCTACCATCCATGCCATGCCCACTCATCCCACCTTAGCGAGCCATCTAGGGCTCTCAGGCGCCCACAGCATGCCTGCAGGCACACATAGGCACATGCTTTCATCGCACAACTTGCGATGCACCCACCGCACAACATGTCATACACCCACCAACTCATCAACTCATCCCACCTTAGCCAACCACCGCGGGCTCTCAGGCGCCCACAGCATGCCAGCAGCCAGGGCGGCCGCTGGTGCCACTCCAATCCAAAACATCTGCCGCCACCTGATTGGCGGAGAGGCGGGGGGGCAGGGGAGCAGAAAGTGGTGACTTTTGAGTCGACTTAAAAGTCGCAGCCAGGGCGGCCGCTGGTGCCACTCCAATCCAGAATATCTACCTCCACCTGATTGGGTTTAAGAGGCGCGGGGAAAGGGCAGGAGAGGATGGGACACCAAGTGATCAAGGTACTTGTTGGGGAGGCACGGTGAATGCAGCCAGGGCGACCGCTGGTGCCACTCCAATCCAAAACATCTGCCTCCACCTGATTGGTGGAGAGATGCGAACAGACCAGAGGGAGGGGCGCGAGGGGACAGACAAGGTTTGTTGTGGTGTGGGGGAGATGGTACTGCAGCGGTGCAGTGCATAGCACAGGTGGAGCACAGGTGGAGCAGCAAGCGAGTTGACGTGAGTAGAGCAGGAGGTGAGGCAGAGCAGAGTGCGATGACATTCAGACAGCAGGCTGAAAAGGGCTTCTGTGGAAAGGCATACGGAACTGGAAAGCGTATAGCCTTAAAAATTGCAGTGCAAGCCGTGTACCAGGTGAGGGGCATGCTGGTGAGCACTGGAGCATGCAGCATGCAGCACCGGGGGGGGGGAGGGGGGTGGGTGGGGGGGGGGCGGGGGGCACAATTGAGCCGTGCAGGGTGCAAGGCACCCACCAGGAGGGGTTGGCAGCGAGGGGCAGACCAGCGAGCAGAGCAGCGAGGATGCCGACACAGATGGCCAGCTGGTTCAACGAGCCCAGGCGACCCCGCACTGATGCTGGCGCTATCTGATGCATGGGGGACGGTGGGCATGGCGGGAGCGGCGGTCGAGGCGTGAGTGGGTGGGAGGAGAAGGTTGCGAGTGGGGCTGGGCAGTAACGAGGCAGTCTTAGAGCAGCTTACGGCATGTGAGCCATTTGACGAACAGACTGGGAAAGAGACGGGCAAGAATTTACTTTTGAGATGTCGACAGGGAAAGGTGTGGAGAGGCGGGCACATACACACCTCGAGGATGTAGACGGGCACGACACAGGAGATGACGCCAAAGGCCCCATGGGCAGAGAGGGGGACAGAGAGGTGGGCAGGCAGAGAGGAGGGGGCACCGCACACGCACCTCGGAGATGCAGACGGGCACAACACAGGAGATGACGCCAAAGGCCAGCCCTGTGAGCGCACAGGCATAGGCAGACCGACAGACAGGGCGTGCAAGCGGGCGGGCGGCCAGGCGGGCCGAGAGGCACGCACCTCGGAGATGTAGACGGGCACAACACAGGAGATGACGCCAAAGGCCAGCCCTGTGAGCGCACGCCCCACCAGCATCTGTGGCACCGATGACGCTGTGGCACTGCGAGAGAGGGAGGAAAGGAGGGAGGGCGAGGGTGGAAGGGGCATGAACTGCAGCCTCACAACGCACTTCCAATATGATTAGCCCTGTGAGCGGCCTCCCCACCAGCATCTGTGGTGGCGATGACGCTGTGGCACTGCCAGGAGGCGGGGGAATGGGGACAAGGGTGCAGAGGGGGGTGGGGAACGGGGCGTATTCGGCTATTAGAAGACCTTGAGGCGGCGCATCGATGCCCGGGCAGTGAGCGTTTGGAGGCATAGAGGGAAGCGGGAGGGGAGAGGGGAGAGGGGGGGGCTTCTGCAGCGGAGAAAGAGACCGGTTACAGGGGCTGTGGCGTTGGACGATAGCAGTTGACTGCAGGTTGGAAGGGCTGGGCTGGGCTGTGAGCGTTTGAAGCGGACCTATGACCAGGCACGTGGGTTGGACTACATAAGCGGATTTCAGAGAGAGGCTTCCAACCTATGACCACATGCCTGGGGAGTGAGCGTTTGAAGGTGTGGCGGGGGGGAAGATGGGGACTGCTGCATTGGAAGCGAGAAGCGGGATACAGGGGATATGACGAAAGCAGGAAAAGACGTGAGCTGTCTATCGGCCCCAGATGTCTGTCTATCTAACAACGAGATGTTGTTCCGCTGGACCCACACACACTCCCTGCCATCGCCGCCAGCCAGCTGAGAGACAGCCAAGAGATAGCAACAGCTCCGTTATCTGTTATGTGTTCCAGCAGTCAATATGCGAGCGAGCAGGTGGAATGCTGTTCGTCGCCCACACAGTCAGCCAAGCAGCCAGGCAGCATAGTGGCATCCGCCTGAAACACCTGCAACAGCGGAGGGAGCGAGCACCTGAGTGCACTTCCCAGTGCGAGGGGCAGCGAGAGCAGCAGGAAGGTGATTCGCCGGCCCACAGAATCGGCGAGCCAACCAGTCGGCTGAGAGGGCCCCACACGCTGCTGTGTAGCTCAAGCACCCTGGAGCGGAAGAAGCATGTAGATGAAAGCACCTTGCAGCAGCAGAAGAAGCGTGTACCTGAGCGCGCTCCCCAGTGCAAGGGGCAGCGAGAGCAGCAGGAAGGTGGTTCGCCTGCCCACAGAGTCTGCCAGCCAGCCGGCTGAGCTGAGAGTGCGCCACACGCTGCTGTGTACCTCAAGTCAAGCACCTTGCAACAGAATAAACATGTACCTGAGAGCACTCCCGAGTGCGAGGGGCAGCGAGAGCAGCAGGAAGGTGGTTCGCCTGCCCACAGAGTCGGCGAGCCAGCCGGCTGAGAGCGCGCCACACGCTGCTGTGAGCAGCGATGCACTCACCACCCAGCCTGGCGGCGGGAAGGGGGGTGTGAGGAAGGGTACGGGAGATGATGAGATGAGACATGGGAAGGGAGGCGAGTACCAGTGTGAGGGCTACGAGGTTCTGTTTCTGCTGTGAGTCCACAAGGCAGCCAGCCACCTGAGAGCACTCCGCACGCTGCTGTGAGCAACGATGCACTCACCACCCAACCTGGGGGGGAATGGGAGGGAAGGAGGGGGCGTAGACGATCGGGCATGGGGAGGCGAGTAACAGCGTGTGAGCCCAGGCGATCTGGGAGTCATTTGAACGGGACGCTCAAGCATGTAATGATGAGCAGGCTTGTGACACGTTTGAAGAAGGTGCCTGTGATGATGTGATGAGCAGTGAGGCACTCAGCACCCAGCCTGGCGGGGCAGCGGGAGGGGGGGTACCGTGGAGGATTAGACATGGGGAGGCGAGTAAGGGTGGTGGTGCGAAAGGAAGACGGCTTGGTGAGGGTGGTGTTGTTGTGAGGCGACAAAGGGGGGGATAGAGCTTACCACGACAGCGCGCATAAGTAGAGGGGTCTATGGAGAGCAGCAGGCGGTGGGAGTGAAGGGATGACAAGGAGAAACAACAGACCGTGAGGCAATGTAGTAGCAAGAGGCACACACACATGGCATGGCAGCACTAGCGTACCTCCTACGAGGGAGTTGCCAGGCGCGCCGATGCTGACGAGGATGTGATCCAACGGCCCGTTCACCACACTGCCACACACGCGAGAGAGAGGGGGAGAGGAGGGGATGATGTTTTAGGCGCCTCGAAAAGACGCGAAATTTCTTGCGCCTGAGAAGGGTTGCCTGGCGCGCCGATGCTGACGAGGATGTGATCCAACGGCCCGTTCACCACACTGCCGTGCCGTGAGCGGGAGAGAGGGAGGGTGAGAGAGAGGAGGGAACGATTTTTGCGGCGCCTCAAAAAGAGATGCCTGGCGCGCCTATGCTGAGTAAAATGTGATCCAACGGCCCGTTCACCACGCTGCCGTGGATGTGGGGGGAAGAGAGGGGGCGGGAGGGAACGCGCATGGAAGGTGAGCCGTGATGTTTTGCCTTGTTTGTGAGGCAAGGATGGTTCTGGTCTGGAATGCAGCGGAGTGGAGGAAAACACACAGGCAGGCAGGCGGGCGGCCCTAATTTGTCACACCGCACCGCACTACACTACTACGGTGGCTCCATTGTGGAGCTGTTGTGTTGCTACGAACCCATCACATCCACTCGAACCTGATGTGGTAACCGAAGGCGAATGCGCCAATGCATGCGACAAGCACGGCGGCCAGCACCATGCCTCCGCCCGTTCCCCCCGCTGCCTCTGCTTCCCCCCCACCGCCGCCACTTGCGCGAGCCGCCACCGCCCTCCCCCTGCCGCCTCTGCCGCTCCGCAGGCCTGGAGTGGTTCCTGAGCTGCCGGCTGAATTTCGCGCCGCAACTGCGCCGCCGGGTACGGCGCCGGATGCGGCGCCTGATGCGGCGCCTGATGCGGCGCCTGATGCGGCGGAGGCACCTGGTGGGGACCTCAAAGCGGTGGCTGTGATTTTCCGAGACATGAGGGATGCGGGGATGGCGGCGGGAGATGCGGAAACTCTAAAAATGCGGCTGGTGGAGAGACAAGAGTTTTCGGAGAGGTGGTGAGGGGTGCAGGGAGTTCGAGGCGCGGATTGCTGGGTGTAATGGACAAGGGTTCTGGGAGATGGTGACGGTAACGATAACGATAACGCCGACCCGGGCGGAGACGAAGTTAGAAGCCTGGTTGGCCCTCCCTGTCTGCGTTTGCTAGCTGTGCGTGCTGTCAATGAAGCTGACGGCGACGTTGACGTTGACGGTGACGGTGACGGTGAGATTGACGACGAAGGGAGAGCGCACAACGACGTTGGCGCGCTTGCAGCAACGGAGGCGAGCATGATGAGAGCCGTCCGCACGACAAACTATAGTCTTGGATTTGGGTGAAATAGCTACTAAGATGACACAATTACCGCATTATGAGCCCCGTTGCAGGAATGACTTACGTTTGGTGCTGAAGAGTGAGAATTGCGATCCCGCTATTGGCATTGCTTGGCGATGAAAATAAGATACCACATATCCACAATTCACTAAAATTGTTAGCAATTCTACAATGTGCGACTACAATCAGAGCAAAACAAACGCAAGTGGCCAATGCACGGATATTCCAAGATTCGATTGGCTGCACTAAGCACTTCCTAAAACCTTCCTTTGTACTTCAACATATGAGCCTCATCCTCCTCAACTCTATACCCCTCCACCAGCTTCCTGTTCACACTGTACATCTTCTCCCTAACATTCTTCGGCTTCTTCTCAAGAAACCTATGCCGCAGCATCCCGCTCTTTGCCTGCCGCACATGCTTGAGCGGCGCATTGCTCACCCTCTCGCCCTTCCTGTGCCAGTAGAACGAACGGTCCACCACACAGTAGAGCGCTAGGGCGGGGTAGTCCTGCCGCAGTGCAGCCAGTGTGGACGCATTACACGCCTTGCTGGAAGGGAAGAACAGGAACTGAAGATTCGGAGCGCGGATGGAGGGAAGCTTGATACTATCCTCGTCATCATCATAATTATCCATATCATCATCATCATACTCCCCATCATCCATAAACGCCCTGTCATTCTCCAGCGTCGCCTCCCACTCCTTACTATGCTCCCCCTTCGCGTGCGCGACAATCCCAAGGCTGCGCAGGTTCCTCCACACCTCATCCACCTCCTCAATCGGGATCCCATGCCTCACTATAAGTACCTCAACGTTTTGCGCTATGGAGCCCAGCCAGTTGGTCCAGGAGAAGTTAGAGATGCCGTATGGAACATGCTGCCAGGAAGGGGGCAGCTGAGCAGAGAGCCTCGGGCAGCTGGATTCCTCATCGCTGGCCGGCCCATTGAGGTACACGGCTCGCGCGGATGCGATGTGGAGGGAGGAGATGACAAGGCGCTCCTGACCATACAACGAGAGGTGGTCGAGAGCGAGAGGGGCGGTGCTCTTGCAGGAAAGCACGAGCCACTTGGCCATCACCGATAGGCTCTTTAGTGAGGGCGGCACGGTGAGCTTGAGCTTGAGCTCGTTGCTGGCAAAGCGGAAGCGGAGGAGGCGGGCATTGGAAAAGTTGAATTCCATGACGTGGGAGCCAAAGACGGGCCCATGAGAGAGGTGCCAGTGCTCGTAGAGCGTGAACTCGTGCAGCTGCGGCGTGATCGACTCGAGGAACTTGTAGTTTCTATATCTCCTATCCATGTGCTTCAGGGTCAGGCAGCGGATGGACCTCACCCACGCTGCATTCGCACAGCTCTCGTCAAGGTTCCACATGCCCCGGCCCAGCTTCAGCTGGTGCAGGCGCGAGCAGCCGGTGAGGAAGTCGAGAGTCCAGGCTTCGTCCTCCTGCTCCTCGTCGCTGTCCACGAAGCCCCGCAGCTTGATGCTGAAGGAGGAGAGGGAGGGACTGCAGCGAGCGATCAAGGGGCGGAGGGTGGGGAGCTGCTGCAAGTTGGTGAAGATGAGGTGGAGGGAGGTGATGCTCTGGCCGTGGCGCGTGAGGAAGTAGCGAATGGTCTTCTGCCAGCTCTTGTCCTTGTACACGAGGGAGATGGGCTGCCTCTCCTGCACTTCATGGGGATCAAGGAAGTTGGGCTTTGTGAAACTGGCTGGTGTGTTCAGTATCGCAAAAGAAGGTTGTTGCATGTTTAAGATCTTTATGTGTGTTGGACTGAAGCACATACACATGGAGAAAGTCTTTTTTTTAGTAAGTTTCGATTCTCAATCAGAAATAGCTGCGAGAATTAGTAAGAGATGAAAAGAAAATAGATGAGGAACAGAAAGAGTTGATAGGAGAACGAGGAAGAGCAGAAGGCTCACAGCGAAGGAGAGGACATGGTGGAGAAGCTTCTTGCTGGCGATACCACAGCAGAGTAGAGGCCAGGAGGACCCATAGCTGTTGTCGTTGTATCTATGCTGATCACTGGCAGAAGAATTCCGGTATGTGAACATCTTCATAAACTCTGTTCGATTGTCCGGCTGTTGTCTCTCGTTTGACTGCTCCTCCGAGCTGTACCATAGGCTTTCAAATCCTGTGAGGCCTTGGGGTTTGTCCACTTGGAGGGGTGGCCGCAGGAGGCAGTGGAAGATTTGGTGCCAGAGGGGAGCTGGCAGCATGTCGACCACATCGTGACAAGTGATGGCTGAAGGGTGAATGATGGGATGCAGAAAAGGGAGGATAACGACAGAGGATCACATGAAAGTGTCAGAGGGAAATGGCAACATATCAGAGAGGAACGGAGAGAAACAGTGAGAACGAGACTCTTGCTCACGGAAAAGAGCGCAAGGAGCAAGGGGATGGGAGTAAGAAGGCGAGTGACAGTTTCTCATGCGAGAAACCAACAGATGAAAAGATGTCGATACAAACGAAAATGTATTAGCCTTAGAATGGCGAGGTTAAAAATATAGGAAGCTGAAGAGCGAAGCCCAAGAACGGCAATACTTCAGGAAGCGCCAGTTTGCGTTGAAGAACAGGGAAGAGACTCGAAACATAAGGCTCCGGGTGAATGAGATTTGTGTGACAAATAACAGAAACAAACCGAGAAAATCCAGTAAAAACGGATGATGAGATTAGTATTTCTTTCTGCCCGTCCTACTGGAATTTCCTCTGCATTACCCTAATCAGCATTGCGCATGTATACCGAACTATGTGTCAGCATTGGTGGCTACGTAAAACTTGTCTCAAACCCGTCATTCAAATTTCGTCACCTACATTGACTTCGACACGGACGTGAAGATTCCATCGATCAATGCCAGATTCTCGTTGAGAAGAGAGGGAATGGCGAGGCGAATGGGAGCCTCAATGAGGTAGCACTAGCGAGAAACCGAAGCCGTTGTATTCTGTTTCAGGTTTCGCGCGGCAGTTGCTGTGCCAAAATCAAGGGACAGCGGTGTTCTCCAGGCAGCGGGCGTCGGCATGGCAGCGACATGCGCGGCAGGATTGAAGCTCCCTAAGGACTTGTGTGTCGGTGCCACTCATGTGTCAGGAGGACCCACGAGAGACTATCAAACCATGCTAGTCGAAATTCGCCTCACACAAGGCGGATCCAGGCACCAGTATCGGTTTCGACACCAGCTACAGAAACGGGCTGGAGATCAGGTCACGTTGGCGATCGCTTCGAATCTCAGCCTTTCTCGCGGGGATAATGTCGACACTAGGTGTTCGCTGGTGTCGCTGTTCACGACTGGAATCTGCACGTGGTGGCTTGATCCCCTTGGAACGCGCACTAGAATAGAAATCAGGGTTTCAAAACTTCGCTAGAAGCATGTGATATTCCAGAATCATAGGCAGAAGCAGAGGCTACAAGTAGACGCTTTGTCAAATCTATACATCCACCACCAGACAAATTTCCCAGTGTGATGAGAAGTGGTAGGGGCCCTGGAGTGGAGCTTTAGTTGAGTCAATAAATGGCTAGTGAAGTAACAACTATATGACGAACCAGCACATACGAACATTCCCAACGCACCACCAATGGTATCACAAAGAAACTCGCATAGTCTCACCTAGAGATTAACTTGACCACAAAAAAACACACAGAACTGGACATCATGTTCCAGCATGCAATTCATCCTGGCTACCCTGTGCTGCATCTCCTAGAACCTTCCCTTGTATTTGAACATATGAGCCTCATCCTCCTCAACACTGTACCCCTCCACCAGCTTCCTATTCACACTGTACATCTTTTCCCTCACGTTCTTCGGCTGCTTCTTCTCATCAAACCTATCCCGCAGCACCCCGCTCTTCGCCTGCCGCACATGCTTGAGCGGCACATTGCTCACCGGCTGCCCCTTCCTCTGCCAGTAGAAGGAGCAGTCCACCACACAGTAGAGCGCCAGGGCGGGGTAGTCCTGCCGCAGTGCAGCCAGTGTGGCGGCGTCACACGCCTTGCGAGAGGGGAAGAAGAAGAACTGCAGATTCGGAGCATCGATAGAAGGCGGCTTCGCAGGGGCCTTCTTCTTGCGACTCCCTCCCCTTCCTCCACCGCAACCCCTCCCCCCATACTCACCCTCCTCATCATCATCATCGAAACCATCCTCATCCTCATCATCATCTTCCTCCTCGTCATCATCACCATAACACCCACCCCAGCCACCGTCCTCATCCAGATCATCATCAAACTCCCCGTCCTCCATAAACGCCCTGTAATTCTCCACCGTCGCCTCCCACTCCTTGTTGTGCGGCCCCTCCGCATGCATGACAATCCCAAGGCTGCGCAGGTTCCTCCACTCCACACCCACCTCGTGGATCGGAATCTCATGCCTCACTACAAGCACCTCCACGTTTTGAGCTATAGAGCGCAGCCACTCGGTCCAGGAAAAGCCGGAAATGCCGCGGGGAACGTGCTGCCAGGAGGGGGGCAGCTGGTAAGAGATCCCAGGGCAGCTGGATTCCTCATCACTGGCTGGGCCATTGAGGTAGGCAGCTCGCACGGATGCGATGGGGAGGGAGGAAATGACGAGCCGCTCCTGGCCGTACAGCGAGAGGTGGTCGAGAGCAAGAGGAGCGGTGCTCTTGCAGGAGAGAACAAGCCACTTGGCCATCACTGAGAGAGTCTTGAGTGCAGGGGAGACAGAGAGGGTGAGCTTGAACTCGTTGCTGGCAAAGCGGAAGCGGAGGAGGCGGGCATTGGGGAAGGAGAAGGTCATAGCGTGGGAGCCAAAGACGGGTCCGCGGGAGAGGTGCCAGTGTTGGTAGAGCGTGAACTCGTGCAGCTGCGGCGTGATGGAATCAAGATATTCGAAGTTCACGTGGCTCGTATCCACCTGCTTCAGGGTCAGGCAGCGGATTGATTTCAGCCACGCGGCATTCGCGCAGCTCTTGTCGAGGTTCCACATGCCTCGGCCCAGCTTCAGGCGCTGCAGTTGCAAGCAGTTTTGAAGGAAGCTGAGAGTCCAGTCCTTGTACTCATGCTCATCGAACATGGTTACAAAGCCCCGCAGCTTCAGTCTGAAGGAGGAAAGAGAGGGGCTGCAGCGAGCGATCAAAGGGCGGAGGGAGGGGAGCTGGTCCATTTCTGTGAAGATGAGATCAAGAGAAGTGATGTGCTGGCCGTGGTGGGTGAGGAAGTATTGAATGGTCTTCTGCCAACGCTCGTCCTCGTACACGAGGGAGATTGGCTGTTTCTCCTGCACCCAGTGATTATTGCAATCAATGGTTGCAAAGAAAGAAAAAGAAGAAGAAAAAGAACATAAGATCCAGTCAATGATGTTTGCTGCATGTTCAAGATGCTCATGAGTGTTGGACAGAAGCATGTGGTACATGTTTTTGTAAGGTTTCATTCTGAACCATGGATTGCTGCGAAAAACAATGAGGAGTTCAGACAGCTTGAGGAACAAGATGAGTAGAGAAATGGAGCAGAGGACTCACAGCGAAAGAGAGGACATGCTGAAGAAGCCTCTTGCTGGTAAGAGCGCAGCAGATTAGAGGCCATGATGAGCCATAGCCTCTGGCATTATCTTCATGCTGGTCGCTAGCGGAGGAATTAGGGTCACTGAACATTTTCAGGAACTCCGATCGGTCGTCCGATTCCCTCTTCGAATAGTCATACTTCAGCCTTTCAAACCCCGTGAGGCCCGTGGTGCCTTGGGGTTTGTCCAATTGGGGGGGTGGCCGCAGGAGGCAGTGGAAGATTTGGTGCCAGAGGGGAGCTGGCAGCATGTCGACCACATCATGGCAAGTGGTGGCTGAAGGGTGAAAACGATGGGTGTAAAAAGAAGCTGAATCAGAAATCATCAGAACGGCTTGTGTAGCCTTGGAGAGTGAAATATGGGGACGGACAGACTGGAACTGAGAGCGACATGCATGAAGTTGCAATGGCAGGGAGAGTGAGAGTCACGCTCGAGTGACACATCTATACGCGAAGAGCTAGTGGAATGAAGAACTTGAAGAGGAAGAGATGGACTACATTGAAGAGGAACGAAGCCACATGAAAGATAGGCAGGGACAAGGGAGGATGGAAAAGTTACGTTGCTCGGAGCTCCTTGCTATTTCTTCACACCCGCTAAGAATCACCTTAGTAAACGTTTCCTCTGCATTATCATGAACAGCACTAAGAACCTGTAGCTGGAAAATGGTGTTGACATTTGTGGCTAAAACCAAGAGCTAGTCTCACACGCAGAGACTGCGTTGCGAGCACGAACCTGGATCTTCCATTTACCAACGCTGGATTCTTCGTCGGTAGGGAGTGAATGGCGAATGAGAAAACCAATGGAATTGCAGAAGCTGGTATTTGTTGAAACGCTACTAATCTCGTCACATGGCGCTCCCAAGACAGTCTTGGGATTTGTTTGCACGGGAATCTGCGATGCTGCAATTTCAGTTCCGAAGCGGGAAACCGAAATCCTCGAGGTACCGTTTTCACACCTGTCACAGTGGTATATGTCGAGTGGATTTGGTGCTTGTTTCGCAACGCAGCCTGTCTCGCGAGGGAGATTTTTGACACGAGATTCTGTTGTTGTTCCCTGTACGGCACCTCGATGATCTCTGCACGAATTGTTATGGATGCATCGCTACAAGCATGATGCTGTTTCAGTTTAAGAGAAACGGAGTTGGGTTTGCTGCTAAAATTACACGTAAGTACCCCAGAGCAGGTGGGTGAGGGGGCTTTGGATTCAGGGCTCAATCCCCTGCGGACACCCAGCCCAAGTGGATAAATTCAGTAAGCAAGGTTGTTGCTTCTCGAACAACCGTCGTTTTTCTCCACATGCGCCCCTCACTGTTTTTGAGGCGCACGAGCGCGCCCTTGAGTCGACTCACAGGCGTTGCACAGGGATCGCGCAGACATCGCACACGCATCGCACAGGAACCGCACAGGGATCAGTCGAGAAGGGAGCGGCTGCTAAAAAAGTCGCACGAGCGGTTGCTGCGATGGCGCGGCGACGGCGCGCGGCGGGCGCGCGGGGAGGGGCAGCGACGCGCGGGGCAGGGAGGGGGTTCCCCTCTCTCGCGCGCGCTGCTGCTGCCTTTCGCCGCCATGTCACATCTCGCCGCGCTACGCTCCAATTTTCCCCACCCCTCCCACAGCCTTACCTCGCTTCCGCAAGCCGCGGCCGTTCCTAGCACCCTTCTCTTCCCACTCCCTCCTCCGCCCCGCGGCGTGCGTTATATCGCGTACGCCGCCATGACTGCGCGATCGAAACTCGGCGCGCTGTGCCGTCCACTACTGGCAAGCGCGTCGCCTCGTCTGCTGCCCACAAGTGCCGCCGGGGCGCCGACTCTTAGCGGCGCCGTTGTAGGCGCGGTTATGGCGGGGATAGGCGGCACACCCGTGCCGATTGGTTGAGAGGAAAAAAACCACACCTCTTAGATACCACCAACGCGCCTCCCACTCCCTCTCCCACCACCAGCACCACCCCCACCACTCCCACCAGCAACAGCAGCGAAGGGGTCTGGCGGCCGGACCATCTAGAATCAACCTAGCAGCCGCGCCTTCCGCCGTTGCGCGGGCCGCTGAACCGTCCAACTTCAACGTGCTGGAAGGGGCGGCGGAGAGCAGCGGCCGCGTGTTCATCACCGCGTGAGTGCCGCTTCCCCCGCGCTCCCCCTGCCCTCTGCACCCCCGTTCTCTCTCGTCCCCCCTCTCTTCCCCGTTCTCCGCGCTCTCTCCCCCTCTCGCGCTCCCCCCATTCTGCCCGCCCATTCCACTCCCCTCAGTCTTCCCTCCCTCCCTCCCTCCCTCCCTCCCTCCCTCCCTCCTCCCCATTCCTTTCCCCCCTCCTCCCACCTTCGCTCCTGCTCCCTTTCACCTTTGATTCCGACTGCTACATAGCCCATGTGCCCTGCTGGTGTCACCCTCCCTCCCCCCCCCCCCCAACAGCCGCCGTGCAGGGGGTGGCAGAGACACGAGCGTTGCAGTCGTTTGCGCTGAGTCATGCACGACGAGACACATCAACTCCACTCCTGCACCACAGTGCCTACCCACTATTGCCATTCTGTGCCATGCTGTGCCATGCCATGCCGTGCCATGCCATGCTGTGCAAGCCTGACCAATCACATGCCCCTCGCAGGTAGGACGCGATAACGGTTTCACGTGGGCGGCAGGGATCTGGACTCGCCTTGTGGCTTGGCTTGCACTGATCCCATCCCTCCCTCCATGCACCCTACTCCCCTGCTCACACCACCCCTGCACCCCTCGCTCGCAGGTACGACGATAAGGGCTTCACGGTGGGCGGCGGGGACGTGGACTCAAAAAGAGCCTCACGACTTGCATATATTCTACCCTCCTCCCCTGCACCACCACCCCACTCATTCCTCTCAGGTCAGGTACGACAACAAGGGCTTCACGGTGGGCGGCAGTGACCTGGACTCGCCTTGTGGCTCGCACATATCGTGTCCTTCCATGCATTCACTGTCTGCACCCACTGCACATGTTCGCTGCAGGTACGACGACAAGGGCTTCACAGTGGGCGGCAGGGACGTGGACTCGCGTTGTGGCTCCCACAAATCCTATCTCCCCATGCACCCATTGTAACCCGCTCCCCCCTCGCAGGTACGACGAAAAGGGCTTCACAGTGGGCGGCAGGGACGTGGACTCGTCCATCCTCTGTGTGGGTGACGTGGCACTCTGCTGGTCGCCCTCATGCCTCGCTGACGTCACCCCCGACAGGTGAGGGGAGAGGGGCGAGTGTGAAGAGAGGGGAGGGGTTAGATGGGTGAGGGGGCTGAGGGGGAAGGGAGGGGGGGAGAGGGGTGTGGGTTCAGGGTTGAGGGGAGTGAGGGTTGTGAGGGGAGAGGGGTGTGGCAGCGGTTGTAACCTCAGAGCTGTAACCTCAGAGCTGTCACCTCACAGCTGTCACCTCACAGCTGTCACCTCACAGCTGTCACCTCACAGCTGTCACCTCACAGCTGTCACCGCAGAGCTGTCACTGCTGCTGGTGCTGGCCAATCTTCCATTCCATGGCACTCCTTCTTCCCTTCATACGTTTGCTGCACTCATGACGTCTCGGCGCATAACAGGTCTGCCTTCCTTTCTGCTTTCTCCTGGCTATCGTCATTCGTCTCTCTCCTTCTCACATGCCTCTACCACCTCCTTTCTCCTCTTTGACTGCCAGCCTGTCACAATGTGTTTTTGGCTCTCACCCCCTCGTCTCACTCGTCTCCATCCGTCCCTCCCTGCCACCACCTCTATCGCACCACTTTCTCACCACTTTCTCACCTCTTTCTCACCATGACTTTTGAGTCGACTCAAAAGTCTCCCCATTTTCCTGTGGCTTATCTCTGGGTTCCGCCATTTCTTCCCAATTTCCCACCCAGGCTTGCAGTTCAACCTTTACCTGGGAAGAAATTGCTTGCAGTCCCACCCTCTCTCCCATGCTCTCTCCTTACCTCCACTTCACTCCCTGCCCCTTCCTAACCCTTCTTCATCCCCTCCACTCCCCTCCCTTCTTTCTGTCCCCCTGCCGCCCCTGCCTGTCCCTTCCACGCAGCCTGGCTCTCTTTCAGCTCATTCACCCGCACCCAGGTATGCTGTCTTGAATGCCGTGAATGCTCAGTGCTGCTGTGAATGCTCAGTGCTGCTGTGAATGCTCAGTGCTGCTGTGAATGCTCAGTGCTGCTGTGAATGCTCAGTGCTGCTGTGAATGCTCAGTGCTGCTGTGAATGCTCAGTGCTGCTGTGAATGCTCAGTGCTGCTGTGAATGCTCAGTGCTGCTGTGAATGCTCAGTGCTGCTGTGAATGCTCAGTGCTGCTGTGAATGCTCAGTGCTGCTGTGAATGCTCAGTGCTGCTGTGAATGCTCAGTGCTGCTGTGAATGCTCTGTGCTACTGTGAATGCTCTGTGCTACTGTGAATGCTCAGTGCTACTGTGAATGCTCAGTGCTGCTGTGAATGCTCTGTGCTGCTGTGAATGCTCAGTGCTACTGTGAATGCTCTGTGCTACTGTGAATGCTCTGTGCTACTGTGAATGCTCTGTGCTACTGTGAATGCTCTGTGCTACTGTGAATGCTCTGTGCTACTGTGAATGCTCCGTGCTTCTGTGAATGCTCTGTGCTGCTGTGAATGCTCAGTGCTACTGTGAATGCTCTGTGCTACTGTGAATGCTCTGTGCTACTGTGAATGCTCAGTGCTACTGTGAATGCTCAGTGCTGCTGTGAATGCTCTGTGCTGCTGTGAATGCTCAGTGCTGCTGTGAATGCTCTGTGCTACTGTGAATGCTCTGTGCTACTGTGAATGCTCAGTGCTGCTGTGAATGCTCTGTGCTGCTGTGAATGCTCAGTGCTACTGTGAATGCTCTGTGCTGCTGTGAATGCTCAGTGCTGCTGTGAATGCTCTGTGCTACTGTGAATGCTCTGTGCTGCTGTGAATGCTCAGTGCTACTGTGAATGCTCTGTGCTACTGTGAATGCTCTGTGCTACTGTGAATGCTCAGTGCTACTGTGAATGCTCTGTGCTGCTGTGAATGCTCAGTGCTGCTGTGAATGCTCTGTGCTACTGTGAATGCTCTGTGCTACTGTGAATGCTCAGTGCTACTGTGAATGCTCTGTGCTGCTGTGAATGCTCAGTGCTGCTGTGAATGCTCTGTGCTACTGTGAATGCTCTGTGCTACTGTGAATGCTCAGTGCTACTGTGAATGCTCTGTGCTGCTGTGAATGCTCAGTGCTACTGTGAATGCTCTGTGCTACTGTGAATGCTCTGTGCTACTGTGAATGCTCAGTGCTACTGTGAATGCTCAGTGCTGCTGTGAATGCTCTGTGCTGCTGTGAATGCTCAGTGCTGCTGTGAATGCTCTGTGCTACTGTGAATGCTCTGTGCTACTGTGAATGCTCTGTGCTACTGTGAATGCTCTGTGCTACTGTGAATGTTCTGTGCTACTGTGAATGCTCTGTGCTACTGTGAATGCTCTGTGCTACTGTGAATGCTCTGTGCTACTGTGAATGCTCTGTGCTACTGTGAATGCTCCGTGCTTCTGTGAATGCTCTGTGCTGCTGTGAATGCTCAGTGCTACTGTGAATGCTCAGTGCTGCTGTGAATGCTCTGTGCTGCTGTGAATGCTCAGTGCTACTGTGAATGCACTGTGCTACTGTGAATGCTCTGTGCTACTGTGAATGCTCTGTGCTACTGTGAATGCTCTGTGCTACTGTGAATGCTCTGTGCTACTGTGAATGCTCCGTGCTTCTGTGAATGCTCTGTGCTGCTGTGAATGCTCAGTGCTACTGTGAATGCTCTGTGCTACTGTGAATGCTCTGTGCTACTGTGAATGCTCAGTGCTACTGTGAATGCTCAGTGCTGCTGTGAATGCTCTGTGCTGCTGTGAATGCTCAGTGCTGCTGTGAATGCTCTGTGCTACTGTGAATGCTCTGTGCTACTGTGAATGCTCAGTGCTGCTGTGAATGCTCTGTGCTGCTGTGAATGCTCAGTGCTACTGTGAATGCTCTGTGCTGCTGTGAATGCTCAGTGCTGCTGTGAATGCTCTGTGCTACTGTGGATGCTCTGTGCTGCTGTGAATGCTCAGTGCTACTGTGAATGCTCTGTGCTACTGTGAATGCTCTGTGCTACTGTGAATGCTCAGTGCTACTGTGAATGCTCTGTGCTGCTGTGAATGCTCAGTGCTGCTGTGAATGCTCTGTGCTACTGTGAATGCTCTGTGCTACTGTGAATGCTCAGTGCTACTGTGAATGCTCTGTGCTGCTGTGAATGCTCAGTGCTGCTGTGAATGCTCTGTGCTACTGTGAATGCTCTGTGCTACTCTGAATGCTCAGTGCTACTGTGAATGCTCTGTGCTGCTGTGAATGCTCAGTGCTACTGTGAATGCTCTGTGCTACTGTGAATGCTCTGTGCTACTGTGAATGCTCAGTGCTACTGTGAATGCTCAGTGCTGCTGTGAATGCTCTGTGCTGCTGTGAATGCTCAGTGCTGCTGTGAATGCTCTGTGCTACTGTGAATGCTCTGTGCTACTGTGAATGCTCTGTGCTACTGTGAATGCTCTGTGCTACTGGGTATGCTCTGTGCTACTGTGAATGCTCAGTGCTACTGTGAATGCTCTGTGCTGCTGTGAATGCTCAGTGCTGCTGTGAATGCTCAGTGCTGCTGTGAATGCTCAGTGCTGCTGTGAATGCTCAGTGCTGCTGTGAATGCTCAGTGCTGCTGTGAATGCTCAGTGCTGCTGTGAATGCTCAGTGCTGCTGTGAATGTTCAGTGCTGCTGTGAATGCTCAGTGCTGCTGTGAATGCTCAGTGCTGCTGTGAATGCTCAGTGCTGCTGTGAATGCTCAGTGCTGCTGTGAATGCTCTGTGCTACTGTGAATGCTCTGTGCTACTGTGAATGCTCAGTGCTACTGTGAATGCTCAGTGCTGCTGTGAATGCTCTGTGCTGCTGTGAATGCTCAGTGCTGCTGTGAATGCTCTGTGCTACTGTGAATGCTCTGTGCTACTGTGAATGCTCAGTGCTGCTGTGAATGCTCTGTGCTGCTGTGAATGCTCAGTGCTACTGTGAATGCTCTGTGCTGCTGTGAATGCTCAGTGCTGCTGTGAATGCTCTGTGCTACTGTGAATGCTCTGTGCTGCTGTGAATGCTCAGTGCTACTGTGAATGCTCTGTGCTACTGTGAATGCTCTGTGCTACTGTGAATGCTCAGTGCTACTGTGAATGCTCTGTGCTGCTGTGAATGCTCAGTGCTGCTGTGAATGCTCTGTGCTACTGTGAATGCTCTGTGCTACTGTGAATGCTCAGTGCTACTGTGAATGCTCTGTGCTGCTGTGAATGCTCAGTGCTGCTGTGAATGCTCTGTGCTACTGTGAATGCTCTGTGCTACTCTGAATGCTCAGTGCTACTGTGAATGCTCTGTGCTGCTGTGAATGCTCAGTGCTACTGTGAATGCTCTGTGCTACTGTGAATGCTCTGTGCTACTGTGAATGCTCAGTGCTACTGTGAATGCTCAGTGCTGCTGTGAATGCTCTGTGCTGCTGTGAATGCTCAGTGCTGCTGTGAATGCTCTGTGCTACTGTGAATGCTCTGTGCTACTGTGAATGCTCTGTGCTACTGTGAATGCTCTGTGCTACTGGGTATGCTCTGTGCTACTGTGAATGCTCAGTGCTACTGTGAATGCTCTGTGCTGCTGTGAATGCTCAGTGCTGCTGTGAATGCTCAGTGCTGCTGTGAATGCTCAGTGCTGCTGTGAATGCTCAGTGCTGCTGTGAATGCTCAGTGCTGCTGTGAATGCTCAGTGCTGCTGTGAATGCTCAGTGCTGCTGTGAATGCTCAGTGCTGCTGTGAATGTTCAGTGCTGCTGTGAATGCTCAGTGCTTCTGTGAATGCTCAGTGCTGCTGTGAATGCTCAGTGCTGCTGTGAATGCTCAGTGCTGCTGTGAATGCTCTGTGCTACTGTGAATGCTCTGTGCTACTGTGAATGCTCTGTGCTACTGTGAATGCTCTGTGCTGCTGTGAATGCTCAGTGCTGCTGTGAATGCTCTGTGCTACTGTGAATGCTCAGTGCTACTGTGAATGCTCAGTGCTACTGTGAATGCTCAGTGCTGCTGTGAATGCTCAGTGCTGCTGTGAATGCTCTGTGCTACTGTGAATGCTCTGTGCTACTGTGAATGCTCAGTGCTGCTGTGAATGCTCTGTGCTGCTGTGAATGCTCAGTGCTACTGTGAATGCTCTGTGCTACTGTGAATGCTCTGTGCTACTGTGAATGCTCAGTGCTGCTGTGAATGCTCTGTGCTGCTGTGAATGCTCTGTGCTGCTGTGAATGCTCAGTGCTGCTGTGAATGCTCTGTGCTACTGTGAATGCTCTGTGCTACTGTGAATGCTCTGTGCTACTGTGAATGCTCTGTGCTACTGTGAATGCTCTGTGCTACTGTGAATGCTCTGTGCTACTGTGAATGCTCTGTGCTACTGTGAATGCTCTGTGCTACTGTGAATGCTCCGTGCTACTGTGAATGCTCCGTGCTTCTGTGAATGCTCTGTGCTACTGTGAATGCTCAGTGCTGCTGTGAATGCTCAGTGCTGCTGTGAATGCTCAGTGCTACTGTGAATGCTCAGTGCTACTGTGAATGCACTGTGCTACTGTGAATGCTCTGTGCTACTGTGAATGCTCTGTGCTACTGTGAATGCTCTGTGCTACTGTGAATGCTCCGTGCTTCTGTGAATGCTCCGTGCTTCTGTGAATGCTCTGTGCTACTGTGAATGCTCAGTGCTACTGTGAATGCTCTGTGCTACTGTGAATGCTCTGTGCTACTGTGAATGCTCAGTGCTGCTGTGAATGCTCAGTGCTGCTGTGAATGCTCTGTGCTGCTGTGAATGCTCAGTGCTGCTGTGAATGCTCTGTGCTACTGTGAATGCTCTGTGCTACTGTGAATGCTCTGTGCTACTGTGAATGCTCTGTGCTACTGGGTATGCTCTGTGCTACTGTGAATGCTCAGTGCTACTGTGAATGCTCTGTGCTGCTGTGAATGCTCAGTGCTGCTGTGAATGCTCAGTGCTGCTGTGAATGCTCAGTGCTGCTGTGAATGCTCAGTGCTGCTGTGAATGTTCAGTGCTGCTGTGAATGCTCAGTGCTGCTGTGAATGCTCAGTGCTGCTGTGAATGCTCAGTGCTGCTGTGAATGCTCAGTGCTGCTGTGAATGCTCTGTGCTGCTGTGAATGCTCTGTGCTGCTGTGAATGCTCAGTGCTGCTGTGAATGCTCAGTGCTGCTGTGAATGCTCAGTGCTACTGTGAATGCTCTGTGCTACTGTGAATGCTCTGTGCTACTGTGAATGCTCAGTGCTGCTGTGAATGCTCAGTGCTGCTGTGAATGCTCAGTGCTGCTGTGAATGTTCAGTGCTGCTGTGAATGCTCAGTGCTGCTGTGAATGCTCAGTGCTGCTGTGAATGCTCAGTGCTGCTGTGAATGCTCAGTGCTGCTGTGAATGCTCAGTGCTGCTGTGAATGCTCTGTGCTACTGTGAATGCTCTGTGCTACTGTGAATGCTCAGTGCTGCTGTGAATGCTCTGTGCTGCTGTGAATGCTCTGTGCTGCTGTGAATGCTCAGTGCTACTGTGAATGCTCTGTGCTACTGTGAATGCTCTGTGCTACTGTGAATGCTCTGTGCTACTGTGAATGCTCTGTGCTACTGTGAATGCTCTGTGCTACTGTGAATGCTCTGTGCTGCTGTGAATGCTCTGTGCTACTGTGAATGCTCAGTGCTACTGTGAATGCTCTGTGCTACTGTGAATGCTCTGTGCTACTGTGAATGCTCAGTGCTGCTGTGAATGCTCAGTGCTGCTGTGAATGCTCTGTGCTGCTGTGAATGCTCAGTGCTACTGTGAATGCTCTGTGCTACTGTGAATGCTCTGTGCTGCTGTGAATGCTCAGTGCTGCTGTGAATGCTCTGTGCTGCTGTGAATGCTCTGTGCTACTGTGAATGCTCTGTGCTACTGTGAATGCTCTGTGCTACTGTGAATGCTCAGTGCTGCTGTGAATGCTCTGTGCTGCTGTGAATGCTCAGTGCTGCTGTGAATGCTCTGTGCTACTGTGAATGCTCTGTGCTACTGTGAATGCTCTGTGCTACTGTGAATGCTCAGTGCTACTGTGAATGCTCTGTGCTACTGTGAATGCTCTGTGCTACTGTGAATGCTCTGTGCTACTGTGAATGCTCTGTGCTACTGTGAATGCTCTGTGCTACTGTGAATGCGCTGTGCTACTGTGAATGCTCTGTGCTACTGTGAATGCTCAGTGCTGCTGTGAATGCTCTGTGCTGCTGTGAATGCTCAGTGCTGCTGTGAATGCTCTGTGCTACTGTGAATGCTCTGTGCTACTGTGAATGCTCTGTGCTACTGTGAATGCTCAGTGCTACTGTGAATGCTCAGTGCTGCTGTGAATGCTCTGTGCTGCTGTGAATGCTCAGTGCTGCTGTGAATGCTCTGTGCTACTGTGAATGCTCTGTGCTACTGTGAATGCTCTGTGCTACTGTGAATGCTCTGTGCTACTGTGAATGCTCTGTGCTGCTGTGAATGCTCAGTGCTGCTGTGAATGCTCTGTGCTGCTGTGAATGGTCAGTGCTGCTGTGAATGCTCTGTGCTACTGTGAATGCTCTGTGCTACTGTGAATGCTCTGTGCTACTGTGAATGCTCAGTGCTACTGTGACTGCTCAGTGCTGCTGTGAATGCTCTGTGCTGCTGTGAATGCTCAGTGCTGCTGTGAATGCTCTGTGCTACTGTGAATGCTCTGTGCTACTGTGAATGCTCTGTGCTACTGTGAATGCTCTGTGCTACTGTGAATGCTCTGTGCTACTGTGAATGCTCAGTGCTGCTGTGAATGCTCTGTGCTGCTGTGAATGCTCAGTGCTGCTGTGAATGCTCTGTGCTACTGTGAATGCTCTGTGCTACTGTGAATGCTCTGTGCTACTGTGAATGCTCTGTGCTACTGTGAATGCTCTGTGCTACTGTGAATGATCTGTGCTACTGTGAATGCTCTGTGCTACTGTGAATGCTCTGTGCTACTGTGAATGCTCTGTGCTACTGTGAATGCTCTGTGCTACTGTGAATGCTCAGTGCTACTGTGAATGCTCTGTGCTACTGTGAATGCTCTGTGCTACTGTGAATGCTCTGTGCTACTGTGAATGCTCTGTGCTACTGTGAATGCTCTGTGCTACTGTGAATGCTCTGTGCTACTGTGAATGCTCTGTGCTACTGTGAATGCTCTGTGCTACTGTGAATGCTCTGTGCTACTGTGAATGCTCTGTGCTACTGTGAATGCTCTGTGCTACTGTGAATGCTCTGTGCTACTGTGAATGCTCTGTGCTACATACATGCAACGTTGCCCTTGAAGAGGGCGTGCTGAGTGTGTGGTATTGGTATGTTGTAAATGCTGTGCTGCTGCCGTGTAGGGCATGCGTGTCTGGGCTTCAGAAGATGAGGCATGGGAGGCATGGAAGGCATGGCATGGCATGGCATGGCATGGCATGGCATGGCATGGCATGGCATGGCATGGAATGGGCAAGGCATAGAAATCAACCATTTCCTCCCTTCCCCTCTTCTCCCTTCATAAGCGTCTTCCCCACCCGCCTACTGCTTCCCACTACCACCCGTCTTGCACAGAGCTACTCCTGCTGGGCACGGGGCAGCGCATGCAGGCAGTGTCGGGGCAGCTGAGGGAGTTTGTGAGGGCGTGTGGTATGAAGCTGGAAGTGCTCTCCACTGTGAGTGCAGTGAGCCCCGTCAGTACTGTACTGTGAGCATCGTGAAGTTCACTTGCAGTACAGCTGGTAGTGCTGGTAGTGCTGGTATGTTTTGAGTCGATTCAAAACACATCGTGAAGTTCACTTGCGGTAAAGCTGCCAGCCAGCTGGTAGTGCTGGTAGCAATAAGACTGCTCGTAGCCCTGCTCACAGTGCTGGCATGAAGCTCCTAGTGCTCTCCACTGTGAGTGCCTCTGTTACTGGTGGGAACGCTGGTGGTGCTGGTGGGTTTGGGCTTGTAGCATGAGGTTGGATGGATGGGGGATGATCCCTTGTACACCAACGAATCCTCAAATGTTCACCCAAGTCTTACATATCTAACAACATCAATGCAACACTTCATCTCCTTTCACCGCACAGCACCACTCCTATCACTGCCCAGCACCACTCCCATCACCGCAGAGCACCACTCCTATCACCGTTCAGCACCACTCCTTTCACCTCTCAGCACCACTCCTATCACCGCGCAGCACCACTTTGTGTCCTGACTTCCCTAATCCCCTGACCCCTCCGCTCGCTCCTATTTGCCTCCCTCAAAACACCATGCCATATATCTAGCACCCCACCCTCTCCTTCCCCCCTCCGTCTCCCACAGCCCTCCTATTTGCGCCCCTCAAAGCACCATGTCCTCCCACCCCCATCATTTCCTGCACCATGCCATTCTCCCCATCATTTCCTGCACCATGCCATTCTCCCCATCATTTCCTGCACCATGCCATTCTCCCCATCATTTCCTGCACCATGCCATTCTCCCCATCATTTCCTGCACCATGCCATTCTCCCCATCATTTCCTGCACCATGCCATTCCCCCCATCATTTCCTGCACCATGCCATTCTCCCCATCATTTCCTTCCTCGCGTGTGCCCCCCCGTCCCCACCTCCCACACACCCCACCAGCAGCACGCCATATCGACGCTCGACGCAACCAGCGGCTCGCACCTCTATCAACAAAGAGGGCCATCCATGCCATTCCCGCACCTTAATCTCCTTCCGTCCTCCTATCCCACCTTCTCCCTCCTCCTCCCCCAACCAGCAGCACGCCATAGCGATGCTAAACGTGCCCAATGATGCTGCCATATCCACACCTCTACCCCTCCCCGTTCATGTCTCCCCTGCCCATGCTATGTCCACACTCCTACCCTTTTCCTTCCTCCTATCCCCCGTTCATGTCCCCCCTACTTATGGAATATCCACACCTCTATCTCTTTCCTTCCTCCTGTCCCTCCCGCTATTCCTTGCCCCCACCCCGCACCAGCGCCACGCCATAGCGACACTCAACGTGTTGAACGAGGAGGGCCATGGCATACCCACACACCTACCCCTGTCCTCCTTCATACCCCTTCTCCCCCGTTCCCCTTAAACTCCCCACCAGTGCCACGCCATATCCATGCTCAACGTGCTCAACAAGGAGGGCCATGCCACAGCCACACCATCTCTTTACTTCCTCTTGTCCCCACTTACCCCCCCACCAGCGCCACGCCATTGCAACGCTCAATGTGCTCAACGAGGAGGGCAGATCCGTTGCTGCCGCGCTGCTGCTGCCCTCCGCCTGACCTCACGCCCTCGTCTCCTCACTGGCTCCATCTCCTCAGCACCCACACCCTAATTAGAATGTGTGCTAGCATCGTGCATGCTGCCTGCATTACAATGATGATGTGCATGCATGTGAAGTGTGTCTCTGCATTTCATGTTTGCGCTGTCATGATAGCCGGGTACAACACTGTACAGTAATCGATAAAAATGCAAGTTAGCTACCTCTGCCTACAACATAGACATGTATGAAACAAATCCGGATGAAACAATGTTACATTGATAACCTACATATAATGACTCGTGCGATTGCACATGCTTCTGCTACCTCGTCCAATTCATGCCATCGTCATGTCATGTGCTACCGGCTGCTGAGACCGTCAAGAGAGCAAATTACCCAGGCCTGGAGGCAGACACGGTACTAGAAGAACCACTTCTACTGGTACTGCAGCACGTACACCTGGTCGTCCTCAGCACAGTAACCCTCCACCAGGCTCCTGTTCACACTGTGCATCTTCTCCCTCACTTTCTTGGGCCGCTTCTCCTCCTCTTCTTCATCCCACACCCCACTCTTTGCCAGCCTCACATGCTCGAGCGGCGCATTGCTCACCATCTCGCCCTTCCTCTCCCAATAGAAGGAGCGGTCCACCACACAATAGAGCGCCAGGGTGGGGTAGTCCTGCCGCAGTGCAGCCAGTGCAGGCGCATTACACGCCTTGCGGGTGGGGAAGAAGAGGAACTGCAGATTTGGAGCGCGGATGGACGGCGGCTTGAAGAAGGCCTTCAGCAACCGCACCCGATCTCTTATCTTGGCGTTTATGGCTGGACCATACATTTCCCAAAACTGCCGGTTATACTTACCACAACCATAATCACTGAAACCATCATAAGCATCAGCATACTCATCCTCATCCTCAGCATCATCATCAAACATGTAGTCATCCTCATCCACTTCCTCATCCGGCTCCGAGCCGAAATAACCCGGTTCATCCGCCCAAGAGAAGCGCAACCTGCCATCGTCTAGATGCTCCTCACCCTCATCCTCATCATCTGTGCTGTATCCCGTACTCCAGCTGTTTGCACGAGCATCCCTGTCCCAGGGAGGCACGACAATCCCAAGGCTCAGCAACCTCCCCCACTCCGCCTCCACCTTCTTTATAGGCATCCCGTGCCTCACTATAAGCACCTCCACTGCTGGCGCTATAATGCCAAGCCATTCCGTCCAGGAAAAACCCTCTTGGTCACTGGCAGGTCCGTCCAAGTAGACAACCCTGGCGGATGCGAGGGGGAGGGAGGAGATGACGAGCCGTTTTTGGCCGTACAGCGAGAGGTGGTGGAGAGCGAGAGGGGCAGTGCTCTTGCAGGAGAGGAGGAGCCGTTTGGCCACGACTGAGAGAGTCTTGAGGGAGGGCGGGACGGTGAGGGTGAGGTGTAGCTCAGTGCTGGCAAAGCGGAAGCGGAGAAGGCGTGCGTTTGGGAAGGAGAAGGCGAGGGTGGTGGCGGAGGGCACTCGGGGATGTTCACGATGCACATTTCCATCCTCATAGAGAGTGAACTCATGCAGCTGCCGTGTGATAATTTCGAGAAACTGGAAACTCATGCTCCCGTAATGAACCTGCTCTAGGGTCAGCTTGCGGATCGACTTGAACCACGCCGTGTTCACACATTGCCAGTTGAGTTTCCACATGCCCCGCCCCAAATTCAGCTCCTGCAGCTGGGCGCAATCCTTGAGAAAACCCAGCGGCCAGGACTCGCTCTCCTGGCCCTTGGAGGAACAAACAGTGCCTTGTATCTCCAGACGGAGGGACGAGAGGGAGCGACTGCTGTGAGCGATGCAGGCGCCGAGAGTGGGCGAGTCAGAGCAGCGGAGGTGAAGCGAGTGTAAGCCCGGGCGGGCGAGGAAGAAGCGAACGGTTCGCATCCAGTGCGGGTTCTGGCCGCCATACACGAGCGAGATGGGCTGGCTCTCCTGCGATTGCAAGTGAGTGGGGTGGAGGAGCGTGAAAGAGTAGGAGATTTGAGGCAGCTGAGGTGTGAAAGTTGGAATAAAAGTTAGAAAGCTGAGCTGAAAGCTTAAAGTCTGAAAGGAAAGCTGAAAGCTGAATTGGAACCCGAAAGCTGAAAGCTGGAACGAAATCTGAAAGTTCAAATGGAATCTGAAGAGCTGAAATGATATCTGAACGCTGAAATGAAACCTGAACGTTGAAATCAAAGCTGAAAATAATGCTAAAAGATGCAAGTCTGAATTCTAAGTTGGAAGCTGAATAGCTGAAATGAAATCTGATAGCTGGAATCTGAAAGTTGGAATGAATTCTGGAAGCTGCAACAAAAGCTGAAAGCTGAAATGAAATCTGAAAGCATAAATGAAATATGAAAGCAGAAAGCAAAATTGAAAGCCGAGACCAAATTGGAAAGCTGAAAGGCGAGGCTGAAATGAAAGCTAAGAGTTGAAATGAGAGCAGCAATGAAATCTGAAAGCTGAAAAGGAAGCTGAAATGAAAGCTGAAAGCTCAAACGAGAGCTGCAATGAAATCTGAAAAATGAAATGGAAGCTGAAAGCTGAAATGAAAGCTGGAGGCTCATATTGACGGGTGCACTGAGTAGGTGGTAAAGCTGAAAGGTCAATGTTTTGTGGACGAGAAAGTGCGAGATCTTCCAGGCGAAAGTGGACCCGGAAAGCGAAACACGGGTAGAGAGAACTTACTGAGAAAGCTACGACGAAATTGAGAAGCCTCTTGCTGGCGAGAGCGCAGCAGAGCAGAGCACATGAAGAGCCATAGGTGTCAGCATTATCCTCGTGCTGCTCTCTGGCAGTGAGGAACTCTTCCCGAAACAGAACTGGCGGGCGATCGTGATAAACCTTGGTGTTGAGATGGTCGCTGGTTCTGGTGTCAGTGAGCCCAAGGGTGCGGAACCATTCCACCTCACGGGCATCCAATCGCTCTGCCTCCTCTTCCACCTCATCCTCTGTCTCTTCCTCTGATTCTTCCTCTGATTTTTCCTCTGATTCTTCCTCTGATTCTTCTTCTGTCTCGGAATCATCAGAGCCAGTTTCCGTCTCCTTCTCCTCCCTTTGGGGGAAGATAGCAGCGTCGTCCGGTTGGGAGGGCGGTTGATGCAGAAGGTGGAAGATTCGAAACCAGATAGGCGCTGGCAGCATGTCGACTGCATCAGGGGGGGTGTAGGCTGCAGCATGGGTTCACTTTAGCTTAAAATAACGACACTTAACGAGACTAGCAAAAATGGGTTCACTTTAGCTTAAATAAGAAAAATGGGGGAAAAGGGAGCTTCAACGACCACGAACTTGAAGCCTCCATCGTCTCAGCGATTCGGTTGGAGAAATTGATGGGAGAGAGCAGCGAGGGTGTAAATTTCGTGCTGGCCTTAGGCTTGATGGAGATACTTCCACTGGCGGAAAGGACCTGGGATGACTAGGGATAGTTGCTGCACATATCAGACAGAACTAGGCGCAGGAAAGACGTCAGAAGGCGAAAGCTGCAAAATCGTTAGCAGAAGTTAGTGAGCGTCATTGAGCGTCAGTGAGCGTCAGTGAATGTCAGTGAGCGTCAGTGAGCGTCGGTGAACGTCCGTGAATGTCAGTGAGAGTCAGCGAACGACAGTGAATGTCAGTGAGCGTCAGTGAATATTAGTGAGCGTCAGTAGATGTCAGGTAGCGTCAGTGAGCGTCGGCATGATGGCGTTTTCCATGTCCCACTCGGTACCAGTGATAAGCCTTCCCTTGCTCCTTTCACAGCATATCAGACCCAAGCAGTCCACTCAAGACAGCCCTGCTCAGCCTCAGCAGGATACCAAGATACAGAGGTACGTTGCTCATTCAGTGAATCTCCCTGGTGCAAGATCCCAGGAAATTCCCGAAGCAATGCTGTTTCGCAGCAATCCTGGAGTTCCACACACAGGCAGCACTTGAAGTCTGCAACAGCTCTTAGGATCGTAAGCACCTTAGTCGGCAATAGTCTACTTGCTATCGCCTATCGTGTTCTCCACGATCTCCCGAATCCAATGATATACGCAGCTCTGCTTGAAGTTGTCAATACACACTTCAGCAATTTTCAGAATCTGATTGGTATAATTTCCAGAATGAGTACAAGCAGTTTTATAGTCAGGCAAGACACAAAATGCGATTCGTAACTTCACTTGTTTCCCAAGTAACCGCGTGCGCCTCGTTTCACCCCGAGTCGCACACGCAACCGAACCGAATTCGGTGAACACTCCTCAAGACCGAATCTGGAACCTTCTCGAACACGCCTCGAGCTCGAACCACAATTTCCCCTCGCCAACTTCAATCTCGATGCTTCTTCCACCTTCTCACACATTCCTTCTCGATTTCTCTCTCCCTTCTCACGCCGTAGGCCGATTTCCACCGTTTCACCTTGAATCATCCACGCGCTTCCATTTCGCCGGCATTCCGCCGTCGTAGAGACTTTCGCCATAGGTTCCGTGGTTGGGCGAACCAACCCTAACAACAGCGTTAGACGCTGACCAATGGTAACGCCTAGACACAGAGGGAACGAATCCTGGACACCCTCTGGTAAGCCCTCTCGTACGTGGCCGGGACCACCACCAGCATGACACGCGCGCAGGCAGGACCACGTACGCCGAAACGGGGCTGTCGATCGATACCCTAGGTTCCTCTGTTGCGTCAGGCTCTGCCACGCTGGTTCAGTACACATTTCAAGTCGAAAATTGCTGCTCATTGGTTTTGGAAGGTTCATACGGCTACAGTAGCCCTAATCTGTCGTCTAGGGCGGCCCGCGGGCAAGAAAAAATAAACAATTTTCCTTGTTACTAAGATACTTGTTTCCGCGAACCCCCTCGTGAACGATGGCAGCGGGAGGGGAGCGAGAAGGCTCCAGCAAGGGGATGAGAAACAGCGACGCCCCAATTGACGCTGGCGAAACCAGCTATCCGTTAGGCACTCAAGCACAGTGGAGTTTCCGAGGAGGAGCAACAAGATATGAAATGCTCATCCCTACGAATTCCCGCCCCCTGCCCTGCTTCTCCCCGACATCGCTACCTGGAAATCCTCGCTTCTGCTCAATTTTGGTTGTGTGCACTAGTTACCGACTGGATAACATGGCCTGCTGAGAACAGCGTGAATCTCGTTATGTGAGCCATGCTGGAGCTGGAGATTCCAAAGCGCGGTAAGGTCAGCTCAGGAGTGGTAACATGGGCAAAATTGCGCGACGCGCCGGCGCGCGAAGTTTTCTTAATCCCATCGACCAATTTTGCACCGCAGGTAGGGCGACCGAACCTCTCGCAAATAAATCGACATACAAACGGTTACGCGATATTGACATCCAATCTAATGTGTAATAATTGGTGGTCTTCCTAATTGTCACTGTTTCGCGCGGGATAATGTTTGCCAGGTGGTCGCAATTGTGGCTACATTGCCGTGACGTTATAAGTTTCGGTTGTTTTGTCTGTTTCTGAAAAATGTTTCGTGCGTGTGTCAGGTTTTTTGTCTACATGTTTTTCTTTTTTGGCGCGTGTCAAACGCCATTTTCTGAAACATCTACGGAGCTCTGAATCTAAGCAGGGGCTGAAAAAAAATAAACCCCTAAAGGCAGGAACGCAATTTGGGAGGCATCAACCCTAAACACGGGAAGCATGGTGTTTAGGGTTAATGCCTTGAATGTGGTGCAATTCGGGAGGGATCAACCCTAAACACGGGAAGTGTCGAGGTGTTTAGGGTTGATGCATTGGAAGTGTGCCTGGCTCCCTACGGGGTTTAGTTCGTTTTACATCGTACAAAAAACCAGACCAAACAAAAACAGCATAAGACAAGCCTTGTCTGCGCGACCAGACTGAAGTGACGTCACGTCGCAAAATTTGTCTTTGATGAAAGGATCGAAACCCCAAGCTGTAATCCCGCGATTCTGGCCGTAAAACCAAATGGCACCTGTAACGTCGATTGTCTGCTTCTGCAGCATGAAAATAACGTGAAAGCGCATGTAGGTCGATCCATTTGGACGAGGTTTGGTCGCCCTACCTGCGGTGCGAGGTTGGTCGATGGGATTGAGAGAAGTTAGCGCGCCGACGCGTCGCGCAATTTTGCCGGTAACATGTCTCCGTACGCGATAGGAAGCTGGGAAGTTTGCTCTAAGAACGGGTTTTGATCGATAGTTTTGTTCGTTAAGTAGGGATTTGCAGAGTATGCATAACGTCAAAGTCAGACTCATTCTTCAAACAGGATCTTAATGAAATTATGTAGCTTAACACCGGTAACATATCATATCATGAATCATGTGGTTATATGCGTATGCTACCACGCCCTAAACCTCAGCCAGTAACGTGCTATTTCCTGGTTAAACCAAACAAAAGTGCAAGTTACCTAAACCTGCAGGCAGTGAACATTAGAAGCATCCCCTCTACTGATACTTCAGCACGTACATCTGGTCCTCCCCAGCACAGTACCCCTCCACCACCCTCCTGTTCACACTGTGCATCTTCTCCCTCACATTCTTGGCCTGCTGCTTCCCCTCTTCTTCATCCCACACCCCACTCTTCTCGCTCCTCACATGCTCAATGGGCCCATTGCTCACCGGCTGACCTTTCCTCTCCCAATAGAAGGAGCGGTCCACCACACAATAGAGCGCCAGGGCGGGGTAGTCCTGCCGCAGTGCAGCCAGTGCAGGCGCATTACACGCCTTGCGGGTGGGGAAGAAGAGGAACCGCAGATTCGGAGCGCAGATGGGCGACGGCTTGGGGAAGGCCTTTTTCATCCGCCTCCGAGCCCTCATCCTGGCTTTTATGGCTGGACCATACATTGCCCATGCCAGGCGGTAATACTCATCCCCACCAACACCATCATCATCATCATCATCATTATCATCCTCATCATCAGCAGCAGCATCATCAAACATCCACTCATCCTCATGCAATTCCTCATCCGGCTCTTCGCTCAAATAACCCGGGTCATCTTCCCAAGAAAACCGCAACCTGCCATCGTCTAAATGCTCCTCACCCTCACCACCATCTGTGCCAATTCCCATTCTCTGGTTGTTTGCAAGAGCATCCTTGTCCCATGGGGGCACGACAATCCCAAGGCTCCGCAGCCTCCCCCACCCTGCATCCACCTTCCGTAAAGGCACACCGTGCCTCACTATAAGCACCTCCACTGTTGGCGCTATAGTGCCAAGCAATTTCGTCCAGGAAAAGCCTTCTTGGTCATTTGTCGGTCCTTCCAAGTAAGCAACCCTGGCGGATGCGAGGCGGAGGGAGGAGATGTCGATCTGTTCCTGGCCATATAGCGAGAGGTGGTCGAGAGAAAGATGGGCGGTGCTCTTGCAGGAGAGGACCAGCCGTTTGGCCATCACTGAGAGAGTCTTGAGTGCTGCTGGGGACACCGAGAGGGTGAGGTGCAGCTCAGTGCTGGCAAAGCAGAAGCGGAGGAGGCGGGCGTTGGGAAAGGAGAAGGCGAGGCGGTTGGTGGAGGCCACGCGCTGATATTTACGAAGCACGTTGCCGTCCTCATAGAGTGTGAACTCGTGCAGCTGTGGTGTAATGGACTCGAGGAACTGAAAGCTCATGCTCCCGTAATGAACCTGCTCTAGGGTCAGCTTGCGAATCGACTTGAACCACGCCGCGCTCCCACATTGCCAGTTGAGTTTCCACATGCCCCGCCCCAAGTTCAGCTCCTGCAGCTGGGAGCATTCCTTGAGGAAACCCAGCATCCAGCACTCGTTCTCCTGGTCCTCGGAGGAACAAATAGGGCCTTGTAGTTCCAGGCGGAGGGACGAGAGGGAGGGGCTGCAGCGAGCGATGCAGGCGCCGAGAGTGTGCAGTTGGTCGGGGGAGGAGAAGTGGTGGTCAAGGGAGTGGAGGCCGGGTCGGGTGAGGAAGAAGCGGATAGACTGCGACCAGTGGGGGTTCTGGTCGTCGTACCTGAGCGAGATGGGTTGGCTCTCCTGCAATGCAAATGGTTGGGGTGGGAGAGCGGAGAAGAGTTTGAGATTTGAAACAACAGAGGTGTGGAGGTTAGTTAGGGACACACCTGGTACTCTGCATGGTCAGCACATGCAGCAGGAGCAAGACTTTTTGGTTCTTGTTGCTACTGGCTGTGGGAAACGTCATCCATCCCCATGCACGGAAATGAGGCGACGAAGTGAAAGCGAAGGGCTGAAAGCTGAAAGGTGAAATGAAAGAGGAATGCTGAAATGAAATCTGGAGCTAAATGAAATGCTGAAACAATATCAGAAAACTGGAATGAAATTCAAAAGCTGAAATCTGAAAGTTGAAAGCTGAAACCTGAAATCTGAAAGCTGAAACGAAAGGTGAACCCCTGAAATTTAAGACGAAAGCTGATTAGCCAAAATGAAATCTGAAACCTGGATCGAAATGTGAAAGCTGAAACTAAAACTGGAAGCTAAAAATATTAATTTTCAAGCTGGAATGTAACCTGAAAGCTGTAACGATGGTGAAAGCTGAAATGAAACGTGAATTGAAAAAAAAAAAAAAAAGAAGCTTAAATGAAATATAAAAGCCGAAATGAAACTGAAAACCTTGAATGAAATCTGAAAGCTGAAAGCAAGGCAGAAAGCTGAAATGAAATTTGGAGGCTGAAACGAAGGATGAAAGCAGAAATGAAAGCTGAAAGCTGAAATCAAGGCTGAATGCTAAAATGAAAGACGAAAGTGAAGTGAAAGCTGAAGGCTATATTCACTGGTGCACTGAGTAGTTGGTCAAGCTGAAAGGTTTATATTCTGTGAATGAAAAAGTGCAGGATCTGCCTGGCGAAAGCGGAAGGAGGGAAATCTGTGAAGGCGAGACACGAGTGGAAAGTGCTTACTGAGAAAGCAACGACGAGATTGAGAAGCCTCTTGCTGGCGAGCGTGCAGCAGAGCAGAGCACATGATGTGCCATAGGCGTAAGCGTTTTCCTCGTGCTGCTCCCTGGCAGTGAGGCCCTCTTCCCGAAACACAACTGGCTGGCGATCGTGGTCAACCTTGGTGTTGGTGAGATGGTCAGTGTGGGTGAGATGGTCGTCGGTTCCGGTTTCCCTCTGCCCGTTGTTTGCAGGGTCACCCTGCCAGTTCCAGGCAGTGAGCCCTGCGCTGCTTGCAGGGTGGCCCGGCTGGCCAAAGGTAGCGAGGAACATCTGGAGAGCGTGTGCTGCGCTGCCTGCAGGGTGGCCCATCTGGCCCCAGGTAGTGACCCCTGTGCTGCCTGCAGGGAGGCCCAGCTGGGCAGTGAGCCCTAAGCTGCTTGCAGGGTGGCTCGGCTGGCCCCAGGCAGTGCCTGCGCTGTTTGAAGGGAGGCGCCGCGGTTCCCAGGCATTAAACCCAAGGGCGTGGAACAATTCACGCTCATGGGCAGCTAGTCTCTCTGCCGCCGCAGCATGATGCTCGGGGTTTTCCCTTTCGGCGAGGATAGCAGGGTCGTCCGGTTGGGAGGATGGTTGATGCAGAAGGTGGAAGATGCGAAACCAGATAGGCGCTGGCAGCATGTCGACTGCATCAGGGGAGGTCTTCGCTGCAGCACGAACCAAAACGGAGGAGAAGGGGGGTAGGAAGACTTGACGAGACTGGCAAACATGGGTTCGCTTTAGCATAGATACGAAAGATGGCGGAAAAGGGAGGTTCAACAAGAACGGACCTGAAGGCTCCATCGTATCAGCGATTCGGTTGGAGGGATTGATGGGAGAGAGCAGCGAGGGTGTAAATCTCGTGCCGGCCTTAGGCTTGATGGTGCGACTGGCACTGGCGGAAAGGACTCGAGAGGACTAGAGGCATTCGCTGCACGTATCAGGCAGGACTAGGCAGAGAAAAGACTAGGCAGAGGAAAGACGAGGGTGAGCAAACTCATAAGGCGAGATCTGCAGAATCCTCAGTGAGCGTCAGTGAGCGGTGAGTGTCAGTGAGAGTCAGTGAGCGTCAAGCCCGCGTCCCAAATTGCGGGCCGCGAGGGTCAAGTTTTTAAAACTTGACGAAGTTGAGTGTCCAAGCTTTTGAAAGTCACGCACTTGCAATTTGGGACTTTCGAAGACAGATTCACTCACCAGGGGGAAAACCGAGGGTTGGCTGGGTCTCGCGAAAAAAACGAACCTAGACGAAATCGGAAACTCTCGCCAAAGCCCACACCAGAAAAACTCCCTCTGGTCAACTTTTAAAAGCATGAACAATTTGGGCCGCCGGCTTCAGTGAGCGTCAGCTACATCACAAAATTTCGACCCCAAAAAACTGTGCACAAACTATGTCTAAACATGCCTCAAAGTATGCCACACGGAGCATACTTGTGACATTAAAACCCAGGGTCCACAGGTTTCAAAGGTAGGAAGGTTGGTTGGGAAGAAGATTACAATTGGATGGCGAGTAGCTGGGTTTCCGAAAACGCTGAACGCTGTTCGCCCGTTTTTGGGCGAACACCGCTGTTACCACAATTGCCAGGCGACACAATTGCAAAACGTGAAACATCGCCAAACACACTCTGCGACCTTTTCCCATTGCCTGCCAACTCCAGTGACGGCTTGGTGCAAGCAAGAAGTAGAACGTCGTGAGTTGACTAAACCAGGTCATTGAGCTAGAAATAGTACGACATACTCAGGAATCATTGGTAGCAACCATCCACCAAGTTAGAAATCCAGGGTTAGGGATGACGGGCCGAGAGGATACTGATTCGAGTGCAGGCATCGCCACCGATACCGCCGAATACGCGGAGCTCTCCGCGGAAGACGAGAGTGAGTAGGGTGGAAAGCGAGCCGTGGCGCTCATGGGGCATGGGACGCGCCGCGTGGGGCCGTGATAATGGGATTTGCCGCGCGCCAGTGAGCACTCAAAACGCGCATTACTATAAGTCGAGATTTATAACTAGCTGACCGGCGGACTGAGATTTGGTGTAAGGAAATGTGCACATGCCAGGGTTTTTTTCCGGCGCCAAATATGCGGAGCATATCGCAAGGGGCAAGGGAGAATGTGAAATGGTGGAGGGTTCGCCATAGCCCATTTATGTGGCCAGGCTCCCCTTTTACTCCCCTTTTACTCCCCCCTTTTACACGCCCTCAACCAGCCACGCACCCTTTCCCGCTATCTTCGCTCTGTCTTCCCAGCCACGCTCGCACCTATTTCTGCCAAAACCAGCCACACCCCTTGCCCCAATGATCCACATCCCATGGCAGAACAGTACGACCCAAACCTGCGCAATCCCATGCCGAAACTCGCTTTGATATCATCCCACTCATTTCCCCAGCTTGCTCCCTCCCTCCCACTCCTCTACTTCCAAGGTTGTACAACTCAAAAACCATAGTGGCATCTCCAATCCCTTGGCATATCCGTAACGGATATGGCCCCCTTTCCCCACACATCCGTGCCCCACTCCCTTCCCATGCAAAACCCCATACTTTGCCAAAAGCATTGCATGCATACCTTGCCGTCTGACCAGGGGGTTTCTCCGTAGCGACATCGTAGTCTTCAAAACAGCAACGGGAAGGGAAATTACAATAGACGGTGGCAAAGCCACTCAGCATTGTGCTGTTTGTACTCTTGATAACAAACAGATTACAGAGGTTGGAAACAACTCATGATCCTGCGCAAACATTAATGTATGCGCCACAAACATACAGAACGCTTCCTGGATGACACAACGTCCGTGATAAGCTTGTCCGTCTCCACAACATACTCATTAAACCTGCGGTAATAAAATGTCAGCAACCATCAAGGAGATGGGAGATTTAGTATGGCATGATGGATTCATGACAGCATATGCCATAGCAATAATGGAACCGTCGACAAGTACGAGACTCCTAGAGAAACCAAGATGCATATTCACGCATCACCCACCTCTGTGGCAATCTTCGCACTCGTTTGTGGCGTACGGGCGTGGTCTCAACGCGGGAGATGTGCTGCAGGGATATGACAGTATGGTTAAGGGGATCACATGGAAACATGAGCCCCTCATCTCAACTTCAGTAAATATTTCAGATACACCAATCGAACGTGTCGCATATGTTATTTGTGTCAGTAGAGCTACACTGTGAGATCCCCGATCGATCCTAGGGGGGGTTACAGGCGCATTTGCCTGGGGGGTTATGGGCGCACTGACCCGCTACTGAAACAAGCCCTTTTATCCCAATGGTCTAGTGGTTGGGATTCTGACATGGTATCAGAGCGGTCTCGGGTTCGAATTCCCGTCAAAGTTCCGTTTTGGCTAAGTCAAGCCTAGAGACTCGAATTTCAGAGGTGAAACTTCCGTCAAAGGTCCGTGAAGGCCTAGCAAAGTACCGAAGCTGCAGAATTCGGGTGTAGGGCCCGTTTGAGGCCCGTGAAGGTTCCGTGAAAGCCCCGTGAAGGGCGCGTGAAGCAGAAATCGAAACCAGGGCCCGTCAGGGTCACGTTAAGGCCCCGCGAAGGCCCCGTAACGGTCGCGTCAGCCCTGGAAGTGGCGTTTCGCGACCAACACGCACTTGAGAGGAACGTGGGGTATCACATGAGAAACTGAACGAGAATGGATTGACTAAGGGAAAGTTGGGTACAAATGTAAACCCTAGAAAACTGTACCCCATATGTGCTACCCCACTATAGCCTACAGTAGCTATGTCATATAAATCTGACACACCCCCATAGGCAAAGTGGGGGAGAACAAGGGGTCACAAGACCAGTCAAGCAAAGCAAAGCAAGCTCAGGGTGGATCACAAAGTCACCACACATTCCGAGCACAAGTTCAAGGCCACAAGGCCAGTTCACATGCAGGATTACATATATATATAAGGCTAGACAAGCAAGAGCAGGTGTATATATATATATGCAACAGTACAAACAAGGTCAAGGGGTGAGCAAGTGAGGCAAGGTAGGCACAAGACCCAGCTGAGTACAGAAGCGCTGATGATCACAAGGCGCAAGTGCCTTGGTGAAGATATCAGCAGTGTTGGCCTGAGAGGCCACGTACGCAAGCCGCAGCTGACCACGCTGCTGTAGCTCACGAGCAAGGAAGTAGCGGAGAGCAATGTGCTTCGTTCTGTGCTCCAGTCTCTGCTCTCGACACAAGGCCAGCATGGCCTTGTTGTCTACGTACAGCACTGGAGGAGAACGAGGCGGCTCTCCGAGGTCAGTCAGCAGGTAGGTGAGCCAGCGAAGCTCCTGTGCAGCCATGGCCCCGGCGTAGATCTCAGCCTCACAACTGGAGCCGAGAACAGAAGACGAGCGGGTAGCCCGCCACGAAACAGAGCCGGAACCAAGGCTGAAGGTGTAACCCTGTGACGACCGCTGCGTAGCCTGGTCGTCAGCCCAAGAAGCGTCTGCGTGCCCAGTGAGGACCACTGGACTCTGCCCTCCAAGCACAAGCCCCATGCCCGACGTACTGCACAAGTAACGCAACACCCTCTTCGCTGCAGCCATGTGCTCCGGTCTGTGTCTCCCAGGAGCAACATAGCGTTCGAGAATGCTAAGAGGGTATGCGAGGTCAGGTCGTGTGCAGGTCATCAGGTACATGAGGCAGCCAACAAGCTCTGGGTACGGGCCACTCGACTCTACGGACTCATCCGAAGGCAGAGCTGAGAGCGAGTGGCGAGTAGGCAGAGGAGTGGCCTGAGGCGAGGAGTACGTGAAGCCAAAGCGCTGAAGGACCTGCTGCACCATGTGTGACTGAGTCAGGGTAATGGTGCGGCGTGCTCTGTCCCGGGTGATCTGCAAGCCAAGGTAGCTGCGCAGTTCACCCAGGTCTGTGCACGTGTGTCTCTTCTGCAGCTCGGACTTCACGTGGGCGAGTCCAGCAGTGTCAGCTGTGGCAAAGACCAAGTCGTCGACGTACACGAGGATGTAGAACGGCGGCAAAGAAGTGTCGGTGCGCAGAAACAGCGACGGGTCGGCAGTAGAGGGAGCAAACCCAAGAGCCGCAAGTGTAGTCCTCAGTGTGTCGTGCCACTCACGCGGTGCCTGGCGGAGACCGTAGACTGGCCGCCGGAGGCTCCACTGGGTGCCAGGAGGAAAAGACCCAGTGAAGCCAGGTGGGCGACGCAGCCAGATCTCCTCGTGTAGGCTGCCCTGCAAGAAAGCAGTGCTGAAGTCAAGAGAGTGCAGCTCGTAGTCGCGGTGAGCAGCTATGTGCAGCAGTACCCGAAGAGTGGTCATCTTCGGGGTGGGAGAGAAGGTCTGAAAGTAGTCAACTCCCTGCCGCTGACTGAAGCCACGAGCCACGTAACGCGCC